TTAAGTCCACTTTCTGTGTTAGAGGACTTTCAGACTCGAAGCTGAATTGAAAGCGCCAGAGATTCCAATATACTCTCTGCCTCTACTCAAGCACATTTCCCCCACATCAACAGCACACCAGAGAAGGACCCATGAACCTACACTGACAAATCATTATCTACATAAATAAATAATAGCAAATTTAAATTGGGGTCCTTTCTTTGGGTTGCATTTTTCATGGGGTTGAAAGTAATTTAATGACTTGTATAATGACATGCATTCACATTTGTACTATAGCATGGAGTATCCGCGCCCCCCCCCCCTTTTTTTCAATTGCTTCCAGCTTCGTCTTTTTCGTCTTTTCATGAAGTCACACAAATGTCACCACCACACAGTACATGGCCTTTTTTCATTGGCTTCCTTTGTTTAATACCATGCACTTGAAGTCCCTTGCTCTTTTCACAGCTTGATTTAATTTTGGACACAGGACAATCTCTCTTCATCAGCTCCTGTATTCACTCACTCACTGAAAGACACCTTGGTGTCTTCTGAGTTTCGGGAGCCACTAATAGAGCTGTTCTAAGGGTCTGCACATAGCTCCTTGCACAGACTTACATTCTCAGCCCATTTGGGTTTTATAGGACAGATAATCTCAGTCTTGTAAGAAACTCCCATCTGCTCTCCAATCAATCCATGCTGTCTAGCATTTCCTCATCAGCAAATGAGAGCTCGGGTTGCTGTGCATCTCGAGCTGTGTTGTCTCTTCCAGATTTTGGCCTCTCTGGTATGTGGTATGCCATTGCTTTAATCTGTATTCATTTCCCTCTTGACACCAGTATGCAGCATCTTCTTATCAGCTTTTCTCTTGAGAGGTGTCTAGGTCTATGGTTTACTTTTAAAAAATCAGGGTATTTGTGGTTGTTGAGTTTTAATTCTTTGTACATCTTGGGCAATATTCCTTTATCTGATGTCAGTTGAAGAGACTTCCTCCTAGTTTATGGCTTGTATTTTCATTCCCTTGTCTGTTTTACACAGAACAGGATTTTATTTTTCATCCTGGCTTCCTTTTTCCTTCTCGACCTGTCTTTTTGAGATGCTGGGGTCTCAGACTCATGGACTGCTGCAGTCTAAGCGAGAGCTCTCCTGCTGAGCTGACTGGATAGCCAGTCTAGAAACTTAGCCTTTAAAGTTTGGATTATTGTTTCTTTCGTAGATTGTGTCTTTATGGGTAGTCAAAACTAAAGCCAGGGTTTCTTCCACATTTTCTTAGTTCTGTTTGCATTTGGGTCATCTGACCTTTTTGTTTGTTTGTTTGGTTTGTTTTTGTTTTAGGCTGCTGCATGGTCTGTTCCTTGGCTTCTTACATTTTGCACGTAGATATTTGCTGCATTGTATGACCTCTGCCTCCTTTGTCCAAATATCAGTTGACTATGTTTAAGTGGCTCTATGTCTGGGCTTCCATCTCACAGATGTCTTCAAGGTTCTAGTTTTCCTTTCCTTCAATACTGCGCTGCCTATTGGGGGTCTCTAGTCCCTTCTAGGTGTGTCCAATCCTGCGGTGACACATCTGGCACATGAGGGCTATGAATGTCCAACACAAAAATCACAAGCTCACTTAAAACATTTTTTTTCTTTCTAATATGATTGCACAGATTCTGAGCACACAGTTTGTAAATGATATTATAGAAAAATGTCAAAAATTACCGGGCAGTGGTGGCACATGACTTTAATCCCAGCACTCAGGAGGCAGGGGCAGGCAGATCTTTGTGAATTCGAGGCCAGCCTGGGCTACAGAGTGAGTGCCAGGACAGGCTCCAAAGTTACAGAGAAACCCTGTCTTGAACCCTCACCTTCCCCCCAAAAAAAGAAAAATGTCAAAATATTGGAGATCCTGAGTTTTACTATCTACAAACATGAAATATCTTACCTTTCGGTTTGTTAGTTTCTTTAACTGGTTTTATTTCCCGTCTCTAGATCTCAGACATTTTGTTAGATCGGTGCCTATAGATTGTATTTCATTTTGAGGGTGATGAATGGGGTTATATTTTGAATTCAAACTGTGCTTGTTTATTGCTGGTAAATAGGGAAATGACTGGCTTTTTGTATTAACCTGGTGTCCTGCAGTATTATATATATATATATATATATATATATATATATATATATATATATATGTATGTGTATATATATACATACATACATACATACATACCATATATTTTATGAAACTTTGTCTGATCCTGGAAGGAACTGACTAGCCCAAGCCGATCAGACCATGGAGGCTGGGATGATGACATAATTTAAATGCTCCCTGTCACAAGGGATTGCAGATTTCTTCACCCTCCCCCCAAAAAAAGGTTCAACATGACCCTAATCGGTGTGAGAGCTAGGGAAGTGGCACTGAAAATTAGTGCTATAGACTGATCCACTTCCCTTCCTCTTCCTAGAGAAAGAAGCTAAGGCAGGGAAGTAGAGAGAACTCACTAAGTACTGAGTGTGACGGTCCTCTGAGCTAAGATGACTCCATCTTGGGGAGTTCAGCTGAGCCCAAAAGAATCGTCCCAGCTGGGCTTGAGTGTTTACACCTCTCATGAAGAGGTGGGAGGGTCACAAGATGCTCTTCTGGGACCCAGCAGCTCCCTGCCACCTGTTTGTGGCAGGATTGGTGTAGCACTAGAGTATATAGGCTTGGGGAGACTAGACACGAGGCCGCATCAATAGAACTATCAGGAAGCCCCCATCCCTGCTGGGTAAAGGCTTCCAGGCACAGCCTTTTAGGGGAGGGGTACCCACACCTCTGTAAGTAACCCCTACACTTTGTAAGTAAGCCCAATAAACTCATTGATTCTCCAGAGTGAACCTTAACAGGACGGTGCCCAAGTTTGTCCTTTAGACTTTAGGGGAAGGGGTGGATGTCTCTTATGCCCCCCGAAGGAATTTTAACAAGTAATATGAACAAAAACTATATCTTTTTAGGAACTGTTTATTTTCTCTGAAAACCCCAAACCTATCAAAGCTTGACAAAACTACAGATCTCATTTGCTCAGGAAGTTGAGGTTGAGGCAGAATGACTAGGACAACTGAATCTGAGGCTAGCCTGAGCTTCAAGGAAAGTGTGGGTGACACAGTGGGCGACCTTCTTCTCAGAGCAAAACCCAAACATCAAAACAAGCAGCCAAAGGCCACCAAGCCTGTGCACATGTTTGTTTGATACCATGGAAACACGGTTGATAAACACAGAGGTAAAACCGTGCCAGGGAAGAGATCAAAGGGCAGGCCAGGCATTTTCTTCACTGTCCAGATTATTTCAAAACGTTTTATATGTATGGGTATTTTGCCTGCAAGTCTCTGGCTGCATAGTGCCTGAAGAGGCCAGAAGGGGGTGTTGGATCCTTGGAACTGGTGTTACAGATGGCTGTGAGCCACTATGTGGGTGCTGCGAATTGAACCCAGATCATCTGCAAGAGCAAGTGTTCTTGAAATCACTGAACAATCTCTCAAGCCCCAATATGTGTGACGTTAGTATTTCTTTTTATTAATTTTTTTCTAGGTTAGGCACCCAGACATAGAATTATTGGTTCCCCTATAAGTACCCTTAACCACTGAGCCATTTATCTTGCCCCCTCAACAACATTTTAAACTTGAGTAAAATTCTTATTATTTAGGAGGGAGCATACAGAAATGTAACACTATGTAAACACCAGAGTTAATGAGAAGAACTTTGTACTTAGAGCCTATAAAATGACCTGGAGGCAGAAGTCCTGGCTCCCTTACCTCAAATACCCCAAAGCTAGTGTTTACTCACTAGCTGTCCAGGGGCTGCCCAGCCTCCAGTTTTCTGTATTCTTCACCCAATGGAAACCCCTGCAAGTTTTCCCTCCAGAATCTGCCATTTGGAATGATTATGACCAAACCAATGTGTCCCATCTGGCCTGGGAAGATGGCTCTGCCTGGAAAATACAGGAACTAGAGTTAAGATCCCCTGAATCCATGGGGAAATAAGCAGGGGTTGTGATGGCCTACAATCCCAGCACTCAGGAGGCGGAAATAAGGGATCCCCAGAAAAAAAAAAAAAAAAAAAACAAAAAACCAAAAACCAAACCAAAACAAACAACAATAACAACAAAAAACCTAGCAAGTTAGGCTAGCCAGACTCAGGAGCTGGAATTGGTTCACTCAGTAAGGTGGGAATTGATTGCCAACTTCAGGACTCCATATGCATGCACATAGAAGTGCAAACAAGCTTGTTCACAAACATGTGAACACACACGATATCCAATTTACTGCATGTAACCCCACACCAGACTGCAGAAAAGGGGAAACATTCTAGATGAAGCAGAGAAAGTTAGAGCTAGAAGTGAGCATTTTCCCAGCTACTGCCACAGTCGGGTAAATGAAGACTAAATGGACTATAACAATCTAAGGCCTTCACATCTTGCCATGTTTCTATCCATACGTGAAGGGCAAGGAAGGTATATGTAGTTCTCACAAGAGAACTAGTTCTCACAAGAGAGGATAGGTTGTCTTCTGTCTGAATACCAGCTGCAGAGAACTGGTTTGGTTAACATGTTATCTGGTAACTTAATGGCAAGCAAAACTGGCAGCAGTTATCAGAACACTGAGTCTATCCAAAGAGCAGAAAGGTCAGGATTTGGAGGGCTTGACAGTTGCTTGCATTCAAATTGGACTGAGCTGAAAGGAGACCAGCGGGAAGCTGTGTCCCAGGGTGTTAATAAAGCCCGCCTTCCTCTACACTGGGGGCATTTCTCATACTGATGCGTATCAGGAATGCACCACGACAGGAAGGTATCGATTCTGGAGACTGGTGCTCCAGCACACCTCACTCAGATGTGCCACACAGACCAATACACAATAGGAAACTACACTCCTTTGGCTCCAGCACGAACACATTAAAAACCATATATAGTTTTGACCCAATGTTTGCAACATTAAAAATCAAAAGTGGAATGCACAAAGAACTATAATGATGCTATTTTAATAATTCACAGAACACACATATGTACGCCCAACGAAGTCATCTTTATTGCATATTGCTATTTTTAAAAAAATGTACAGTCTCATAACACACACAACATCGTTTTTTCTTGGTTCTGTAACAACAGTCTTGCACCTAAAGACTAAGTGGTTCCAACTACTAAGCTAATAAGATACGAGACATTTAATTAGGTTTAAAAATTATAATGCTTTTTCTTTTTGGCATTATTAAAAAAAATCTTTAAAATACATACTCAAGAGAGAAGAGTGGCTACTTACACCAGCACCAGTCTAAAAAGTAGATTTTTCATTTGTTTGTAACAATGGCACATGGAATTACCTGCACACAGTTTTTGGAAAGATAAACAAATATAGGGAATGGCAAAGGAGGCCTACCAGGATGTCTACATCAAAATGAGGATGGTTTTAAAAGGGCAAAGGGACATGCTACACAAACTTGCTCTCTGTTGTAAGTCTCTTTCCACAGTTCCAAAACTGAGCTTGACCAAACTTTTCCTGCTATAAATAGAAAAGAATATACATAGAGGCACTTAATCAGGGACAGCGGAAGCCACCATTCCATCCCATCCTCCTCCCCTCCAAGCTCTCTGAGCTATGTATGTCTCCACAGTAGCACCACGGTGTGCTTGCAGACTGGGTAGCTCAGGGCCGGGAGTCAGCTCTGCTTTGTACCTGTGACTGCTTTATTTAAGAGCCATTTACTTCCATATAATGAGTAGAAAGTCGCTATGTTTGCAATGAAGAAAAACAAAAAGTAAAAAAACCACAGCTCTTGACAATTCTTAGAGCACTGTTTCACAGCTTTTACACAGCACAGATCCCTTGCCATCTGCACTCAGCATTACAGTTCATACAGATTATTTTTAAATAGTATGATTCCTTGTCTACTATGCACATTGGCATTCTATCGTCCCTGAAAACTATATTAAAGTGTGAACTCCTTGGCGGGCAGGGACTGTCTTGCTTACCACTACAGCTCTACTATGCCTGGTACATAGTAAGTGCTTAATAAATATTTGATTCTTGACTGAAAGACTCAATTTAGTGAGTAAATAATATTCTAGTGCAATAGGAAACACTACTCTTTCCACAGGAAACCCAACCACAAAGGATAGATGGAAAACAGAGAAAACACTAGTCCCTCCCCACACCCGAGTACAAATAAATAAAGCAAAAGAAAAAAAATAGTAACAGTCCTCTTTACATACTATATAATTTAAGGGTACTGAGAGTTGGCAGGTCAGTGGTAAGCATCTACATTTTATTTTCTAATGTTCATTGTTTCATTATTTCTCCCTGAGAGCTTTGTATTTTTGGACTGAAGTTGTACAGGTAGCGTCACCGACACACAATTTAAAATGACAACACTTAACAGCAATTGCTTCAAATATTCTTTGAGATAAATAGATCTGAGCATCCCTGTAGATACTGTTAACATTTTGTGTCACTGTGAGTGTCCTTTATCCCAAGATATACAGCGTGGCCTACACAGCAAACAGAAGACACCCAAAAGCACCCAATATGCCTTTAAAAAGAATCTTCAGGGAGTTCTTCCACTAAGTCTTCGGTGGGAAATTTCATTTTCCAGGTTAACCAATCTGTATTGTTAGTTCAACAAGAAGGTTCTGGCAATCCTGGCCTTTAACTAGGATGCAAGTGGCATTATTTAGAAACCATGTTCTTGAAAGAAAAAAGAAAGAAAGAAAGAGAGAGGGAGGGAGGGAGGGAGGGAGGAAGGAAGGAAGGAAGAAAGGAAGGAAGGAAGAACAAACGAACTCACCAAGAGCATTTGGCGGAAAAACAGATGAAATTAGGGGGGGGGGGAAACCTGGTGTTCAAGTTTTAAATATACAAAAGAATTGTGACTGACGTTCTACATGATATGAATGTGTGCAAGATGTTCTCAACAGACATCTGTAGACTGTAACCCAGCAGCAGCATTGGGACCTCGAAGCTGCTCTTCCAAGTGAGTCATTGGTGCAGGCAGCAGCGCCCGACTGGAACCACCAAACTCATCCAGATCTGTATTTTCCAACTCCATTTCTACCAGTGAAAATTGTCTCCCTACTCCAACCCTGGGAACCATAAAAAATACTCCACAAGACAAGACTTATTTTTAACTTCCTGTTTTCTTCTTTTCCTTTTTTTTTTTTTTTTTTTTTTTTTTTTTTTTTTGTTTTGTTTTGTTTTTTGTTTTAAATGTTAAGGAATGTCTGTTATCTCTTTCAGGAGGGAGAATTGTGCTTCTGAACATTCATGGTGTTCAGGGAAAGAAAATGAGCCCCACTTGATATGAATGCATACACAGAGTTTCTGAGCACACACATTAACATAAACTTTTTAAGCATACACATAGGTCCCCGGACAACACTCAGACTTCTATATACATTTTCACATATATACACATACATTTACACACACACATTCACACCTTCACTCACAGGTGAGAGAAGAAATTGCCACTGTTTTGATTGCAAGGCAGTGTAATGAAAAGTTCTAGTCACGCCGAAGGGCTGCTACTGCGCTTTCTAGAAAAGGATGCAAGAAAATTAAAAATTCAGTTTTGTGATTGGTCGCTCCCGGCTACCATCCGTCACCTGGTTGGAAATGCGTTTGCGGTTCCGTTTGAGTTTGGAAAGGTCTTTGTCAAACACTTCTCCCGAGCGCAAAGCTGAGACCAGGTCATCAAACTCTCCAGTTTCTTCACTGTTCTCCTTGGCCTTCCTCATCTTACGCTCCCTTTCCCGTTGTTCTTTGAGCTGCACATAGAGAGAATCCTCTTAGGGTTAAGGCGGATTTTGTTTTCAGCATAGAAGAATTCTGTGCCATGTGGAGGGGAGTGACCCTCTTACATGCAGCCGTGTGTCAGCTGTAGCTGCTAACTTGTACGGGTGATGTAAGAGCTAACTGGAAAAGCAATGGACAGTGAAAGAATCATGCATGACCCTTTCCAACTTCTAGGTAAGCTTCATTGTAGTCTCTCTCTGCATTTAAGGGAGTTAATGGGTAATTTAGGGCTATTATAAAGGATGCTAATGTCCTTTGGAAAACTTATAGTAATTGTTTCTTGAAGGTAATTTCTAAGGAGAGCCACTGGTGGGATGTGCACAGGAGTCTTTGGAGAGAAACTGCCAAATTGTTCAAGAGAAATGTGGTATGGATCTAAGCTACCTGAGTCACTCTAGAATTCTCCCCTCCTTGACAGTGCAGCCCAGTGCTATGGGAACGAAGGGCCTGGTCTGGGTCGTACCTGGGCGCTGAAGTGCCTGTCTATCATGTGGCCCTGGTTTGGTCCCAGAACCATAGATGGGAAAGACTGAACAGGAAATGGAGGGCTGCAGTGAGGGCTTCCAGGAGGACCTGCTGGGTGGGTCTCCCTCACCTGAGCTTCCATGCGAGCCCGCCTCTCTTCCTCCTCTTTCCTTCTCCTCATGTTCTCATTCTCCTGTTTTGCTTCTGCCACGGCTTGAAGAAACTGGTCAAAAATCCCGAAGAACTCATCTGGCTGTATTTTGCCAGCCTCTTCCCCAAAGTGCTTCACTGCTTTAGTGAACTGGAGAAAAAGATTAAAAAAAACGACCTCAGCGTTCCAAGACAACTGATTCCACACTCAAAATGAATTCTCCCTCGACGGCTGAAAGCTCAGATATAATGGATGGATTTCAGCCAGCCCATTATTTATCCTCAGCTGCTGAACATACCTACTCATCATTTGCAAAGCTGGAAACTGAATACTCCCAACTTCTGAAGCCATGTATCCTGTCCACTTCATTCCAGCTTAGCATCTATGATTTCCTCAGACGACTTTGTCTTAATTAAACAATAGTAAACACAAGAAGGCAACGTACTGTAGGACAGGGCACCCAAGACCCAGAGACTAACAGCAAGCACAGCAGGGGGCGGAACCCTTGTACTTTAAGCTTTCCTTTGAAGTAGTTTAATACCATTTATTGGGGCCATATGGTGAATATGAAAAACAAATGGGACCCAGGACTTCTCAGCTGCTTTTTCTTACCCATAAATAATGCTAATGTTGTCTTTAGGCTCTCCCAGCTCTAATTAGGAAAGGATAACTGACTGTGGAGTCATTAATGCCATCCAAAGTTTCTGAATGAGATTACTTTAGGCCAACCCTACAATGTCTCAGAAAGCCATTTAATGTCTCTTATGAAAGCTGACAAATACAAAGTTAGGGATAATTTCAAAAATTTAAACAAACTATAAAGTAACAAAACAGTATGTGCAGTTTCTTTTCAAACCCCTTAACTGTTTCTGTTTTTGGTTCTCTGAGGGCTTTCCTTAGTAACTTGGAGAGTTTGCTATCCCAAGTCTCAGCATCACCTGGACTCACCAAGGGCTGCGCCATTCCTGTCAGCACTGAGCCCCTGTGGTGACAAGGGCCCAGTGTTGCTGGCCCCATGCAGTCCAGCTCAGAGACTAGGCTTCAGACTAGAATGAATTCTCTTTCCTGTGCTACTCAACCACTTCTGATCAGACCTTATTCAGATCACAGCCATTCCATGGTTTCTAACTGGCTTGATTGTTCTTGCATTATCTGTATTGTTAAAGCTTCTGATAGTTTAGTAATATTATTAATGCTTTCCATGTTCTTATATATAACAATTTTGACTAAGATATACACATTTGTACATATTTCATAATTATTTTATTATTTTAAATTTAAATTTCATAATTATTTTATTATTTTAAATTTAGTTATTGTGTGTGCAAATGTGTTAAGTGCACGTGTGCCATGTGGAGGTCATTAGGCCATCAGGTTTACATGCAAGAGGGTTTTACTCACTGACCTTGCTATTTTCAAATGTATTTTCCACCATTTTCTCTTATACCTTTGGTTGTGAGCCTAGCCTTTAACAGCTGAGCCATTTCTCCAGCCCCACCATTTTCTCTTAATGTGGAGCTGTTCACAAAGTTTTACTTATTTGGAAATATTCTATTACAAAACAGAACTCTTCAGGGGAAAAAAAAAACATTCTTCACACACCACATTAGAGTAGTCTAGCTTGATTCATGGTTTTATAAGCTTATTTCTAAAAGTTCTGGAATGAACAAAACAGCAATAAACAGTCTACACAGCTGAGCTTCTAAAATATTCAAGTTCATGCACTTTAAGCCATCATGGATGATCTTTTTATCTAGGAATTCTAGTGATGATGAAGTCATGTGTATTTTAGTCTTAGAAATCCAAAAGAACCTCAGGCCAGATTACTGTTCCCACACACAAAAACATGGGGTTCTCTGTGTGTGCATTTAAATAAATAAATAAATAAACAAATAAATAAATAGCACAGTTGGTTCTGTATTTTAGCTCCTTGATGAGGTAGGTCATATGTCAGGACTCCAGAGTAGGGGTCCCCTTCTTTTACAAACACAAGAATGAATAGGATTCTCATGAGGGCAGTTTGGACCACACCCATGGATACTGTTTGTCTTGTTTCTGCTGTGGCATATCAGAGGTGGATCTCTAATGGTGGCCATGTGGCACAAACTGTCTCCTTATTTATTTGATATGCCTGGAGGGTAGTACTGAGTTTAGGTGATGTTTGGAAACACAGCCTCTGAACTTAAGATCAATAAACCACACCAAATAACTCAATCTGATCACTGGGAAATAATGCCTGGGAAGGAGATACTGAAGTAAAAGGAGTATGGTGGCAGCCTAAAGATTGTGCAGGTTGGTTTCTGTCGACTAGATATACCTGGGATGAGTGAATCTCAACTGAGGAATTGCCTACAGCAGATTAGCTTATGGGCCTCGCATAGGCAAAAGGCAACAAACGACAGTTAGACACTAAGGGCTACCCTGGAGACGAAAATACAAATGCTCCATGAAAAAGAGAATCTCTGCTGCTGCGTCTCCTGGCTGTGATGCTGGAATACTAACTACTCTTGCTTCTTCCCAAACAGGCTCAGAGGAGCTCAGGTCTGAGGGACCACACGAGTAATTGCACAGGGAAATTTACCAGCTCCTTAGCTTCCGCCAGAAGATCTTCAACATCTGAGAAGCTGAAGCTAGCCACAGTGATGAACTGGCTGACAACAGACACGAACTTGTCTCCAGGCTGGGGGGGCTGAGACTTCTGATACTCCAGCTCCTGGAACACAGGAAGCAGATGCTGAAGGCACGGGTTTCATGTGCACTCACACCTTGTCTCTTATTCCACAGGACTCACGTTGAATAACTCAGCAAACACAACGGAAAGATCTCATGTTACCCCACTTCCGCACCTTGCCCCTCTCCATGCAGAGGCCACGCCTGGTGCACAGACATACCTGAACACAGCTACTTATTTTCTGAGTATTTTACCAGGGTGATTCTCACTCTGGCTTTAGAAGAAAGTTAACATTTAGCTCAAATCAATAGAACCCAATAGAGGGAAAGGCTGCACCTGCTGGTTGATGTTCTGGTGCAGAATTCTGGTGTCTTGAGTTTTCTCCCCCCTCCCTTCTCCTACCAATTCTAATTACTTCCTAAACCATGGGATCTAGGACAGCAGAAATGCAGCTGCAGCATGTGGCAACATAATCACCCCCCCCTTGTCCACACCAATAGGTTTTGGTGAATAGACAGGAAAATGAATCTTTTGTAAAGTTCCCATTTTCTTCACTCTCACACAGATGATTTAAGTCAAATTTCAGTAGTGAAGTCCAGCCATTTCAAACACACATTCTTAACAGCTCCCAGCATCATTATCCCCATGGCATAGATGCACAGAGCTTAGAGGAATTTAATTCTCTGCTCAAAGTCAAGGAGCTGATCACTGGCAGAGGCAGAATTTGAGCTCAGTCAGCCTGCTCCAGGCTTGGCAATTACTGTGCTAAGTGCACCTGACCGACTGCCAGCCACAGTTTTTCCTGTCCCCTCTCTGGCAAACACTGGCTCAGGCTACTGCTGATATGTTCTTAGTAGCAGACTGCTCTGGACCTCAGCGCCTTCCATTAAGAGGACAACATCCATATGACTGTGAGATAAAATGAAATGACAAGAAAACAAAACAAAAACAAACAAGCCATAAATTATGGAGCCAGCTCTGACAGAAGACATCAGCACAGTTTTAGTACCTTGGTCTAGAAGTGTGACTGTGTGCACGTACAAGTGTTTGTGCTGGTACAGGGATGGTGAGCCATCTTAGAGGGCGTAATTAGCCAATCACTATATCCCTATTTATCTTGGATACTCACACAGCATCATCGACTTGGACAAAGCACAGTTAGAACATACGAATATTTGGGTGAGTTAAGCTCTGTTGCCTCCTAATATGTCCAGTCATAGCTAGATATTTCAGCTGCCAGGGGCAGAGAAAGGCTTCTGATGGGAGATGTCATTCTGTAAATATGTTTCTCATACTGGTTAGTGAATAAAGCACTGTTGGCCAATAGGAAAGCAAGATAGGCGGGACTAGGAGACAAGGAGGAGATAGGAAGTAGTAAGGAGGAGTCAAGATGGAGAGACGGGGAGAGCATAACGCCAGCCCCTCTCCGGTAAGATGAGACCACGTGGGAGTACTTAGATTAATAGAAATGGGTTAATAATTAAGACAGAGTTAGCCGATAAGAAGCTAGTACCTGGCCAACAGAATTATATCTAATACAGAGTCTTTGTATGTTAATTGGGGCTGGCGCCGCACTGGGCCCGGGTGGGCAGGAAAAACCTTACTCCTAACAGGCTTCTGCCCTAGTTGGTGTTTTTTGTTAACTTGATAAAAACTAGGGTAATTTGCGAAGAGGGAATCACAATAGAAAATGCCCCCACTAGATTGGCCTGTAGACATATCTTTAGGGTATTTTCTTGACTAAGGATTAAAATGAGAGGGCCCAGCTCTCTGTGGCCTGTGCAACATATGGGCAGGTGATTCTGGGCGGTGTAAAAGCAGGCTGGACCAGCCATAAGGGGCAAGTCAGCAAGCAGCACTCCCCCGTGGCCTTTGCTTCAGCTCCTGCCTTCAGGTTCCTGTCCTGAGTTCATGCCCTGACTCTTGTTGATAATGAGCTCTAATACGGAAGTGTAAATGAAATAACTCTTTCCTCTTCCCTAAGTAACTTTTGGTCATGGTGTCAGCCACAGTGAAAAGAAACCCTAAGACAGCTTCTGCAGTTCCTTTCCTAGTTAAGAGTATGGTACAGCATGTGCCTGCCACCCAGGAGATGAGATGCAGCATGTGCCACCCAGGAGATGAGATGCTGCAAGTGCCACCCAGGAGATGAGATGCTGCAAGTGCCACCCAGGAGATGATGCACAGTAGCTATGCTTTAGCAAGCAAAGCCACAGCACATCCCTGGACCACCACCCTGACCTGGTCTTGGTCTGTGCTAACTCAGACACAGGGCTCAAGAGTGCCTGCCCATTACCTGTCGTAGGGATGGCACAGCTGCCATTTGTGTCTCAAGAAAAGTCTATATGAGAAGTAAACGGTAACCACTGAACTTTCTCAAGCATTCCTGGCCAAAAAATGCCCTGGGAAGCCTGGGCCTTCTGAGATCTGTGGAGGGATGTCGAGGTAGTCATAACATACTTCTTTTATCTCCTTTTAGTCCCTAACCCCTCAAAATCATGCTCCCAAATATTAGTGGGGAAAAAATTAAATTTTTATTAGTACTCTCTTCAGTGAATTCAATACTGTTTAGGGTATAGGTTTGTGATTAAAACAAGAGAAATGGGGGTAGTGTGGCATTTAGTGATAAATGACTTGCAAGGTATTTAAGAGAGGGGCAAATTTCAGACTGCTTCTGAATCAGTAACCTCACCCAGTAAACACACAGCTGACCAGGTGGGGCTGGGGGGCGGTGGCTCTCATGGCTGGGGGCGGTGGCTCTCATCCCTGGCAGGTGGGGCTGGGGGCGGTGGCTCTCATCCCTGGCAGGTGGGGCTGGGGGCAGTGGCTCTCATGGCTGGGGGCAGTGGCTCTCATGGCTGGGGGTGGTGGCTCTCATCCCTGGCAGGTGGGGCTGGGGGCGGTGGCTCTCATCCCTGGCAGGTGGGGCTGGGGGCGGTGGCTCTCATCCCTGGCAGGTGGGGCTGGGGGCAGTGGCTCTCATGGCTGGGGGTGGTGGCTCTCATCCCTGGCAGATGGGGCTGGGGGCAGTGGCTCTCATGGCTGGGGGCGGTGGCTCTCATCCCTGGCAGGTGGGGCTGGGGGCAGTGGCTCTCATGGCTGGGGGTGGTGGCTCTCATGGGTGGGGGTGGTGGCTCTCATGGCCGGGGCAGTGGCTCTCATGGCCGGGGCGATGGCTCTCATCCCTGGACTCCTCCCGGGCAGCTGCATTCACACAGCAGTCCCATGGCCATGGTGGTGTCCTAGCACAGCTGTGCCACATTCTTCTGAGTCCTCTCAGTCTTCTGCCACATTCCTGTGGTTCCTTTTTATCTTCCCTATCTGGGCAGCCCCCTCCTGTGCGCACCCTGCTTCTAAGGGTGACTGGAGTTCATCTCCTCCAGCAGGAGCACTTCCTCCAGAACATGTCAGTCATGTGAGTCCCCAGGCCAGCCTCCATCCAGCCCCTTCACCATGCCCCTCTTTGGTCCCCATGCTTATCTAGCCAGGGTCCTGCCTGGTGTGCTCAGTACTGCAGCACTGGAAGGCAGGGACTCTGGGTCACTGTGACATTGTGCCTTGGGCACAGTATGCCCAAGTGTGTGTTTGGTAAAGACTCCCCAAAAGGCCAGCTCAAAAGTAACAGAGATTGCATCAGTCTTTGGAAAATCCACATCTAACAGTAATAGAGCATGTAAATTAAGAGAGACCTTGAAGATTGCCTCACCTGGCCCACTCAGTCTAAGGAGGCCTACTTCCCAGGTGAACTGGTGGCCCCAGGGCCACTTCCAGCTCCAACTGCAGTGAGCCACTCAGGACATCTGGCTGCATGGAGCCGAGTTGCCACACTGGGCACAACTTGTGCCTGCTTCTTGGTGGTCATTCTTTCTTACAGAATCATGTTTACCTTGGGCAGAGCACGTGCCCAGGGTGCTTGCTCAAGCTCAGCATACCAGCAGAACGTGGAGGCGGTTGTAGGGGAAGCAGGTACTCACCATCTCCACCGCTTTCAGGCCGCCTCTCAAGGTGCTTATCTCTTTGTCCAGCTCAGTCATGCTGTGGAGAGAGAAACATCTTAGCAGTCAGCACGAAGCTTACAGGAGTAACACACCAGAGCTTGAGACAGCCGATGCTTAGAGTGTGTGTGTGTGTGTGTTAGTTCAAATGCTTAAAATTCCAGGGCCAGTGAGATGGCTCAGTGGGTAAAAGGGCTTGCTGCCAAGTTTGACAACCTCAGTTTACTCCTTAGGACCCACATGGTGGAAGGAGAGAACAGACTCCACGGTTGTTATGACTTCCAAAGACTTGTCATGGCACATGCTTAGACAGACAGACAGACAGACACAGACACAACACACAGATACAATGAAAAGGCTACAGCAATTAAAAAGAATATGGAAATTATATGCAGAATTTTTTCTGTACATCACAGGGCTTCTGCTTCAGCACATTGCTGTATGGAGGACTGGGCACCTGCCTCACTGGGCTCTCTTAAGACAGGGGCTCCCTGGGACCCAGCGCTGTCTGGATGCTGCTGCTGCTGCTCACCATGGAGCAGCACTGTGGACAGCACTCAGCCTCAAGCAGCAGGCATTTTTCTGAGATTGTCTTGGTCACTTTTCATTTCCATTGCCTTCTTTGTTCTTCAGTGGAGAAAGACTCTATCTCACAGCTTTAAACAGTAACGACTAAAAGTTAACTCTCACAGACAATTCCCACCACACCAAAGAGCTCACCAGTACTTGATTTACTCTTAGTTTCTTGTGTTACCTACTGCATTTCCTACCAAGTTCTACAGAGGGAGATAATTAGCCTAGCCATTCCAGGTTGTAAATTCACTGCAAAAGGCACAGCTTAAGTATATGTCTATCAAAAAGAGGGGGAGGAGGGGAGGGGCCAGCAAGGAAAGCTGCCTGTTTCCATCTCTGAAACACAGCACAAGATTTGTGGGGAAAGTCTGGCAACTTTCCATTTTATTTTTAGTTTCCCAATTTGCATAAAGACTGCTTCCCATTAAAGGGTTGCTTGGTTCCAAGGAGTGTGTGTATCTGTGAAAATGACTGGCGGTTCCCTCACATGGAAGTTTCTATTTGCTTCACCACGTGTCCTCCTTTACCTCAGGGTTACCTGTGTTTAATAGAGCTGTTGCTTGAAAGCCTTGGTGAGACTGAACCATTGGGCTTACATGTTAGGCAACTGTTCTGCCACTTGGCAACATCCTCAGCCTTCATTTAATTGTGCCGAGCCAGTTTCCCTCAGTTGTCCAGGCCAGTCTTGACCTCACTTTGTAGCCCAGGCAGGCACTGAGTTTGCAACCCTCCTATCTGTCTCTGTTTTCTGAGCCAGAGATGCTGGGATTACAGGCCTGTGCCTGCAGGCCTGGCTGCTTTTGCTCTGGCTACCAAGAAAGCAGGTTTTATACCACAGGGAAGTGAGTGTTCCAAAGGACCTAGAACAAATATACATCCTTTAACACATTTGAACAGTTTGGGTGTGATCCAAACTTTCTTTCATACAGAATTCAGAGGGAAGGAAAGAGAGGGATCACTTCAAGCATTTGCACTTTGGTGTGGTGCCAGCTAAGTGCCCCACGCTGCACAGTCAAGCTGGTAAAAAGAAAGCTGTTAGCATACTCACTTGACTTTTGCTGCTTGAGGAATATCCCGCAGTTCTTCATGTAAATTGAGGACTTTGGGGTACTTATTCTCCACAATAGTTATTAGATAGTGCAAAAGGGTAATGTTCCTAAAATGAAAGAAAAGGAGAACACTCAACATGATTAATCTGCATATGAATTATATACTCAAGGGGCAGGAACCAAAACACATTAAGAATTGGTAGAGTGGCCTAAGAATAGTTATTTAACCCATTAAGGAGAGCAGTTGTTTGGAAGCCTAAAAGTTCTTTGCAAGTGGAGAACTCACTGTCGTAGTCACTGGTGATGTTCTCTTAAGGTTCCATCTGAAGGGCAGTTGGACAGAAAGTCCCTATTTTAGTGCTGCTGCTGCTGCTGGAAGCTGACTGTGACATTACATATATAACGTCCTTGTAGCTGTGAAATCGATTCTAATTTTAGCAGTTCTTCAGCTCTTAATTGCATGACCCTTAGTAGTTATAACAGCTGGTGATGACAGGGTTGAAGCTTGACTGACCTGGGCTGGGAAAGGGGGGTGTCTGATAATGCTATCGGGCAAAGTCGTGTTAGTCTGGTCCTGCTGTCACCAGTCCTACTGCCTGTTATAGTCACCTGGACTCCAGATGCCTGGGCCAGCACCAGAGATCCATATGGCTGGATGAGGTGGGGCCAGGTGTGGATACTTGTTAATTTTCCCTGGTTAGTCTCGCTTAGATGAAGAACTACCAATCTACCAAAGCTGCCAGAGTTAGGAGTATACAAATACCATTTTAGTAACATTTCCATAATTAGGCAGTTTGCTAATTCCCAAGGCTAAGTCACAATCCCGCCCCCCTCCCATCAAATTGAATCAGAGTTGCATAATGTCAAGCATTTCCAGGACCCTGTGGTTTTACCTAAATAACACAATCCTGTTCCCAAGTCAAGGGTTCAAACAGGTTCTTTAGTTTTGTTCCTATCAGTAATTAGGGAATAATTTCCACCAATGCAAATAGTGGCACCTCAGGCTTCTGTGAGCTTGCTACATCTAATTATTTAAGGGTTGCTATTCCTAGAACCTACCTGTTTACCCTGGACTTCTCTCCCAAGGTGGGGGTGGGGGACAAAATGCCAGCAACTATCACAAGAATGCTATTTTCTTCATTATTTTAGATATGCTTTTCTTTAACTAGAGAAATTTCCATTAGCTTAATTGGAGTGTATGTGCCTTCAAGATTTAAACCCAGGCTAGGCTTCCACATTTGTTGTTGTTGTTGTTGTTATCCATATAATACCTCATTTACCCAACACAACTTCTTGAAGAGTGAACAACTGAGCAGGCACACATCAGACTAGTCCTGGTGCTGCTGAATCAGCCCTTGGGTGCTAACCATCACCTATACACTTTGAACCAACTGTATTCTCTGATTCAAGTGAATGATGGGCTCACTGGTCCACCACTCCACCAGGCAACTGTGGCATTATACAGACTGAGGTGACATTTGGTGACCACCTTCAGAAGCAGACAGAAGAGGAAAGCGATCAGAAATAGTTTGATTGTATGGGCATGCAAGCAAGCAGTTGAAGAGACTGTCCCTTTAAAGACAGTTGTTCTTTACAAGCAAATAAGAGGCTGCAGGTCCCTATTACAACCTACAAACAAGACCCCCCTAAGGGCAAAGAGCAGCACTGTGGACTGACCTGCAGAGCAGGGGCTAAATCCTTCCCCAGCCAGCATGGGGGGGGGGAGAGTGGGGAGATTAAGCCACTTGACATTACCTCAGTTTTCTTATCTGACAACATGTGGTAAGTAACTTGGCCTGTGTACTGACAAGCTATCGTGACAAATGTGAACATGCTCAGAAAAAGGCTGGGGCACCCATTAAAATGAGGATGGCAGAGTTTTATATAACACAACAGTGCTTGTCACTCTGTCTCCATGATGCAAAAATAACAGCTTAACACATGGCTTATTTCTTTTATCAAGGACTTGGGGCTGCTATAAACCATGCTTCACTAACCCTATAGAAAATATAGGGTAAAAAGTCTCATTAGCGAGGAGTAATTAGGGAGAACAGTCTGTCATGCTAAAAGGATTTGGCTCTGAGAAGCTTACCTTGGAAAGTTCCTTTGAAGCCAAGGAGACCCTCAGAGAAACCAAGCTCTTGGGAAAATTTGAGTTAATGTGCGTGATGACCCTACCTGCTAAGGACACAGGAGTTGGCATCTCTGTGCCTCTAATCAGACTCTGTTCACCTCAACTGCAGTGCTGTGCACTTCCTAGCACACATTTTAATGAACCTTAGGCTGTGCAGCTCAAGATTAGCAGGCAATGCATTCATGTGGCTGTTAGTACTAGCCTGAGACCAAAAGGCACATTTTCTGGGCGAGCTCAGTTTTCTCCTTTCTTTGAAAACAGTCCTCTGTGGAGGGGAGCTGGAGGCCCAGTTCTTGGTTTGGGTTGTATAGAGGGCCGTCAAGACTTCTTTTTAGTGTATGACACTATACTTAAAAGTTTAAGTTTTTTAGATTTATTTACTTACTTAGTCATATGTGTGTGTGTATGTGTGTCTATGCACATGTATGCCAACATATGCACACATGGCATGTTTGTTGGCATCAGAAGACAAGTTGTGGGAGTCAGTTTTCTCCTTCTGCCATGTGGGTTCCAGGGACTGAACTCAGGTTCTCAGTCTTAGGGCAAGCATCCCTACCCACTGCGTTATTTATTTATGCCTTTACTCATTACTCATTTTAAAGACAGCCAACAATAAAGAGCCTTGGAATAGATCAGTAGTTTTTCAACCTGTGGGTTGCAACCCATTTTGGGGGTTGAATGACCCTTTCATAGGGGCCACCTAAGATGATAGGAAAACACAGACATTTACACTGTGATTCATAATAGTAGCAAGACTATAGTTATGAAATAGCAACAAGAACAATTTGATGGTTGGGGTCCCCACAGCATGAGGAACTGTAGTAAAGGGTGGCAGCATTAGGGAGATTGAGAACCACGGGGACAGACACTGCTCCTATGCACTGATGATGGACGAAGCATCCCTGGGAACTTGAGGGCTGCCTCTGTTTGTGAGAGCAATGGGAGGAGAATAGAAGAGCAGGAACGTACCCCGAAAGCCACAAGACTGTAGTGTCCAGGTGGGCGCTATAAAAGTCATGTTCTATAAAACACCTCGATGTTCCAAGTGATGGGAGTACCACACTTACTTGTCAATACTGGATTTTGTGTCGGCAATCTTGTTGAGGCTGGAGATCTTGAATCCATATGCGTTGCCTCTTTGTCCTTTATTCATATAATTTCCAAAAGCCAAAACAACTTCTAGGAGCTGCTTGAGGGCGCTGCTTCTGAATACCTCCTCTGAGCCAGAACGAATCGCTTTAGAGCAGAACACACAAGCACAATGGTTACAGCCAAGGCCTTCAGTTATGCCTGCCCTGAATCCATAACACACACGGATGGTATCTGAGTATGTCCCTGGTCTGTGACTGAGAACTTTCAAAACATGCAAACTAGAAGCACAGTAACATGTAAGAGATCCCACAGACAATGGCAGAATTCCTCTCCTTTCTCAGCCTTTCTCTGGACCGACTCGCTAGCTTTAAGCATTTAGGAATGGAATACACAGCATGCAATTCCATTTCCAGCATTCCTTTGTGAAATGCCCTTGCCTCACGTGAGTTAGATCAGTGGGTGAGTCAATTCTGCTGATAGAGAACTGGTCATCTGCTACATGGATGGCTTGCAGTATTATATCAGGGATGAGAGCTCAGACTCTGATTGTGCTGTACATTCTATAACTATGTTCTAGTACCATCTACATCGCAAACATCTGTAAACACAGCAGCCTAAAAATCTACCCTTAGAAAATCCTAGTAAGGCACTGCTATGAGAACGATAGATAATTATAGGTTCAATGCTAGGAGTGGCAAATTCATCCCTTAGCCACATTCATGTGGTCAAAATCCCAGTCCCTTGGAGAAGCTCAGGGGGTACACAGCAGCTCCCGGGCCTGGCCAGACCAGAGTGCATAAGATGTCAACCTTATACGACCACCCACTGGAATTTCAAAAGATTTCCAGCTAACCAACATCAAAGCCATTCTGTTTGTTTTGTGCCCTTGGCTCAAAGTTGCACATGGGCCCTTAAGACAAACATTATTTCTTGCTGTGTAGCTTGATTTTACCTTCCACTTTGGGCTTCACTTCTGCCACACGCTCTGCAAACTTCTTCTTGAAGTACAATGACTGCAGTCTTTGCTGGTAATGATTAATCCTGTAAGAGCAAGGTGGCTAGATTAACACTCAAGATGAGAGCACATTTCTCTAAATTCTGCATGGGGCAGTTGGGTGACTGCCTGGGACCCTTCACCTCAAACTTCGCTCACAGGACCCACAGCTCTTGTGAAAACAGAAGAGATGAAAAGGAATAAAAATGTAGACTCTTCACTTTCCCCTACTTCTCTCGAGTCTTTTAACCTTTCATGAAGTTTGGCCTTTGGCAAAGCTACAAAGACTTGTGTCTGTCATACACTCCTCATACCCACTTCCAAACCTTTTTGCTTTGCAATCAGCTCATTAAGCTAGTCTCCTGAAGGCAGGCAAACTCAGTCTCCAGATAGCACCTAGAGGGAACAGGGAACCCACCAGCCTCTGATCTGCACCTAAGCTTCAGGATTCTTGTTGCTGGCACTGGGGGCTACAGTGTCTCATGAAGCTTCTGAAACACATGTTTAAATGGCTCACGATAGAAGTTTCAGTATAGAAGGTGCAGAGATCAGTTCCTTTAAAACCATTTGGGGATGCAGATCCCCAAACAGACTTAGGTTTGCAGCCAGGACATATCTCGTATTAGGTGACCTTGAGTAAGGCCTATCTGAGTCTTCTTTTCCCTGAGGGTAGATGAAGATAATACCTCTTTCCTGGAGGCCCCTACAGGCAGGACTGCTAGGAAGGTTACATGGAAAATACCTGTAAATATCTGGGCATGTTTGAGGGCTATTTCTGCTGGTCACTAGATTGTCTACATTGAGGGCTGCAGGGAGTAGCTTCAAAAATACCAGAGTTATCCTTTGTTTAACAGTAGTCTCCAAAATGGCAAGTTATGAGGGAATAACCCAGAAGTAAATCTGGCCATAGCAGCATTGGAGAATGAGAGACAGGCTGCTAGCCTAGAGAGAAAGGGCTCTGCCCTGAGGGCTACTGGGTTTCAAGACATTGGACCTCCTCTAGCTTGGAGTCAGCTCACTAGACCTGGAATGGCAAAGAGAATAAGCTCACACACCAAACCCATTCATAGAGCAGTGGCTGCCCCAGGGGCTTTCTGGAAAAGGGTTCAGGAAAGGGAAGAGTGCTGTGACTGATTAGCGATGCCTGCCTGGGTCTTACAGTGGGGGCTAAAGGCTGGCACTGCCAGAGCCTGTCATCTCTCTCCCTCCAATTTTACAACAAACCTGAGATGTTAAGGTACTAGATACTGATATCCTAAGACATCAAAGTGTTAGTGAGAATGATACAGGGACATTGCAGCACAATAAAACCAGAGCACATGGGCCCAAGAGTCCCCCAAGAACAGCTGTGAAGATGCTTGGACACTGGCTCACTCAGGGCAAGAACTCCCCCACAGGCAAAGGACACATTCCATACAGCTCCAATTGGGAAGATTGTAGAACTAAAGCGTGCTGCAAGACAGGTGACTGGCCCCAGCTGTTTATCTTGAACCAAAGCTGAACTTCCTTACTAAGGCAAAGGGCATCTTTCATTTCCAGTGTCTTCCATCTCACCTGCTCATCTCAAACAGGAAGCGGTCAGCCTTGGCCATCCGGTCCAGCTCGTGTTTGTGTTCCTCTAGCAGGTCAATGTCACTTTTCTCAGGGACAAACTTCAAAAGCTAAAAGTGCATGCAGGTATTAAAGTAAAGGTTACAAAAAAGTCTTGGCAGTAGGTTTTTAACCTTTCGGTTAATTTGCTGCAAGATGAAATTTTAATATTTTCTTCTTAAGTCCCAATCCTTAAATTGGCTCAAAAGTCATTTTCAATTTCTAGTACCTTTCAAATTAGAACTGTTGACATTTCCCACCAGGACCTACTTTGCATAGATGCTTAGCAGGGCCCTAAAAAGAGTCAATCCTTTCATTACAAGGCCATACAACTGACTATAAAGAGAGATTCAGCCCTCAGCCTGCATTACAGAGCAAGTATACATAATTGTCAGACAGAACCCAGGTCTCTGATGCTCAGAGTATATGCATTTTTTTTTTCTGTTACACCATGGTGGAATGAATAATTACATTTGTGATTTTCATTCAGCTTGCTTATTTTTTGTTTCCCTAATTCTACCTTCTTTATTGTTTCATGTAGCATTTCTCTGAGAAAAACAGTGGGAATATCATATTTTTTGTTTCATATTTTATTCTGGAGGATGAGAATGAGAAATGGAAGAAATAGCGACAATATGGAAAGTTGAAAAGTTACTTTTCTATGTGTCTGACTGCCATTCTAAGCATACATATTTGAACATGTTTGTGGCTGTGTAAGCATGCTATTTTCTAGATCAAATGCTTCCCCCCAAATAAAAATGAAGACCCTCCCTATAACTTGGTATGACTTGAGTGACTTATTTGATAGGCTTTCAGATGTGAGTCGGAATTTTTAAAAGGCAGACTTTGGCAAAAGGAGTCATTTCTGGGGGGCAGGGGGGCTCGATTACGAATGTGTTCAGGGCTGGAGACAACCAGTACTCAGAGGATGAGAACAAGCAGGAGAGGAGTCTGGAAAGGAGGCAGCAGAGTTTTAGTTGGAGAAGTTATGTGACATCACATGGCCAAGGCATTCATGTCAGAAATCACCAAGAAACAAGAAAGAGAAGAGCTGCCAAGTGTCCTCTGGATTGGTGACAGGAAGCTATGATGTCCTCCGCAATCAGTTTTAGGGAAGAGAAGACAGACAGCAGTGGGCTGAGTGAACAGGAGGAGAGAATGGACTGGCTTTCAAGAACTTAAGACTATGCCAGGAAGAGAGAGACAGTAACACTATGTGTGCACTCCCTAAAGATGGAGACAAAGATTGAGAGCTGAGAGGGTGAGGCGGGGACCGAGGGGAGGGCCAACCAATTCAGATGGACTCCTGACTGGAAGGGAGGGTTGTGCTAGGGCATTAGGACGGACAGCCTTGTCCTAAAGAGATAGGAGGGAAGACAAATGAAAGCAGGTGTCAGGTATGTTTCAAGGCATTTCTGTTCCCAGACTGAATGGTGACACTGAACAGGACATAGCTCATTCTTCCTCTGCGTAGGGAAGGTTGTAGGGCAAGGAGAAGATGAAGGGGTGCCCTTGCCTCCTTGGTTTGGAGTGGAGTTTCGTCTTCTGAGCTAGGGGAACTCACTTCTAGTCTCAGACATCTTTTCTCTCATTTCCCAGGCTCCCAGCTGGTCTGTGATTAGGAAAGCCCCACCACTCTGTGTCCTCTGTGACTTCCAAGAACACAGGAAGATGCATGTGGGGAGCCTCAGCCCCTCACCAAACAGAGGCGAGTGACACTGTGCGTGGGTCGTTTTCCAGGAAACAGAGCTAGGAAAGCACCTGGGAACAGGAGAGATACATTCCAAGGAAGAGGGCTCACTGACCTCAGCCACAGTCTGAGCATGGCAGCCAACAGTGGCATGTAGCATGGAATGCATGTGAGCTCATATAGGCTCCATGCAAAGGTAAGGAGATGCTGGGACAGACATCTGTCTTGAAGAGAGGTCCGTGGAAGAAAGACCAGGCAGAAGGACATTACAACAAGGAAGGAAAGAAAGGGCGTGGGAGTGGAGCAGAGAGCAAGAAGCTCACAGAATTATCAGGAGAGACCAGGTCAAAAATGTCCTTGGCCAGATGCTGCATCAGTGCACAGGCTGTCTTCCTTGTTTATTTGGAGTGTGTCTCATTTGCACTGCAAGCCCTTTTGGCAGGGCTTTGCAATCCTTTCCCTCAAGGAGGAATTTTGTTGGATGCAGTTGCAGGGTAAACAGATCCTGTAGAATTTTAAGCATATGACCTTGTCAGTAGAGGCTAAAGGCAGAAGGACCAAAGTAGCTTTGCACACAGTTCTTCATGCTGGTAGTGACTTGAAGGGGCTCAGTGGGAGCCTTCAAAATGTACACAGAGACAGAGGGACAACCTATGAAGAGTGGCCTTACCACTTAGGACACAAGATGCCTCTTTCTATACTTTCAGAGCTGAGTATGCACACAGCTGCCTGTTCAGCCTGGAGTCACAGTTGCTGGCACCTACAAGTGACCTTAGTGGACCTGGCTCTGACAAAAACAGACCTTAGACCTGATCACTCAAAATCAAATTCTGTCCCAAGGATGACAGACAGAAAGGAAGAATATCCTTATAGCTACTGATCACCACAAAGCTCAGAAACCTTCACGTTCCAAGGGATCAGGGAACAGAGACAGGTAAAAATTCTTGGACTATGTCCTGGTTAGACACACATGATACAGTCACAGTGGCTATGCACAAATGCTGCAGAATGAGTTACCATTAGACTGCGTAAGATTTATTCAGGGACACTAATGTGAGCTACCTATATGTAATTCCCATGGGCTAGCCCTGGAGTTGTGATTACTGCCATTTATGATACAAGATGCCACATATGAACAGAGATAGGATTTAGCTTTAGGAAACAACTCAGTCCCTATAGGACAGGTGTGACTGTGTAGAACAAATGTAACTATGTAGGACAGGTGTGACTCTGTAGGACAGGTTTGACTGTGGAGAACAGGTGTGACTATATACAACAGGTGTAACTGTGGAGAACAGGTGTAGCTGTGTAGGACAGGTGTGACTCGGTAAGACAGGAGTGACTCTGTAGGACAGGTGTGACTGTATAGGACAGGTGTGACTGTATAACAGGTATAATTCTCCCAGGATCCTCTTGGCAGCTGACAGCACTGCTTAAGCTCTGAAAGCTGTCTGGCAACTCACCTGCTCTAACATGTCCTTGGGCAGATCCTCTTGCTCATCCATTGTTAGAATTGCCCGCTTGATTTCATCATTGGATAATTTCAACCTGGAGACAGCATATTTTATTTTGTTAATAACACTGTTGTGATTGTTACAATTTAACACAAGACAACTCACTCCACTACACCAGCTGCTGATTTTCAAGTATGTTTTTTTTCAAAATCTCAGCCAAGGCTTATTTCCTGACAACAGAGGGAACTAAAAATAGGATTTTGAAACAGCTTAAACATTCTTTCAGGGCTCTGTAATGTTCTGCTGACATGGGGACAAACTGCCATGTCCTATCATTAGTTTCCTTAAGGAAAGCTGGAGATGGGAACGTACGCGCAATGGTCTTATTATATCCAACATCCACGAATGGTGGGTGGGAGGAGAGAACTCAGCCTCTTACATCACTGTATGTCAGGGGAGTTCCAGATGTGCTGCCAGATTAAAAATAGATTTTGATACGCTTAGAAACTGTACACGAGGTTAAAGAGTTGAGTGCATTAATATATAAAAGGGAATACATGCTCATTTCATAGGTGAGGAATTTCCATATATTTACTTTCATTTAATTATGGAAGTAACTGTGACAGTCTGGCTTTTTGTTTGTTTGTTTTGTTTTAAATAGATATGCAGGCTCAAAATGGCCAGTGATTTGATCAAGGTCAAACATAGAAAATGCTGGTATCAGTGGCCAGTAAAATGGTTCGGCAGGTAGAAAGCAAGCAACTCTCAATCTGCTGATCTGAAATAAATACCTGGAACCTAGATAAAGGGGAGAAGAGAGAACTGACTCCACAAAGTTGTCTTCTGACCTCTATAGGTATACCATAGCACATACCAATGTCACGTTACAGATTAAATAAAAAATGAAAGTGACAGCATCACCATTACAAACCCATTTTACAACACAGACACCACTCACCTAGATAGTATCTTACAGCAAAAGTTGTATGTCAAAACACAAAACTGCTTTCTGTTTCTGTCTGCCCATAAATCCAAATGATTTATACTACAAGAATTAGTTTGTATTTTAACTCAGGATAAGAAACTACTCACTATAAAACATAACAGTTATGAAACTAAAACATAAAGAGTGCTTTTACTCAAAATAAGAATAGTTATAACTGGGCAAATATTCTTAGACATACTCTCAGTTGTAACAAGAGAATCTAGAATTATTTGTTCTACCTGTACACATGACAGTCACATGTCTTTCCTCTCTGACCTAACATATACAGAAAGAATGTGGGGGTATTCAGTGAAACAATCCAGTAAGGTAGAGTTCCTGGACACAACAGGGGCTCAGTGCCTACTCTACAAGGCAGACATCTGAACTAGAAAAATTCACAGAAAGTGTCACTTTTTGTAATCTTAACAGTATGAGTAGATCATTTAATCAGTACTCAGCGTGGTCACTGTCACTTCCCAAAGCATTCTTACACCCAAGTTTCATCTCTGTACACAACAGAACCAGGCTCAGGAGGATTGAAAAAGAACTGGAAGATGTGTATTTATCTCCAAGGTGGTTATATGTTTTGGGAGGGTTACAGCTCACTAACAATCTGCAAGGCTGAGTGAGTGGATGGAGGACTCCAAGGTGGTGGAAGGATAAAGACCCTTTCCTAGTTAGAACCACCCACTCCACACTCCAGCTACATCCGCTGTATGTGCCCCTGAGCAGCAAAGCAGAAACAGCATCGTCTTCCATTTTGTGTCCTCAGATCTAAACACACCATCTAGGCAAAAATGCTAAACTGTCACTTGACAAACACAACCCACCTCACCCCTTATCTGGGCTGTGGTGCCATCTTCACCCTTGTGCTGAGTCCAGACAAAACCCTTCAGCCCGTCAGTCAATCTTGGGATAACCACTGCCCCACGAGCATGTTTACTAGACCAATACAGTAGAAAATCCACATCGATAAAGTGGAACAATTTAGCTAAGTTGGCCTGAGTGAAGAAGACAGAAGGAAAAATGGTTGCCCCACCAAATCTTTATTGTCAAGGTAGCCCTGGATTTCAATATTATAGGCTCTCGAGTCAATTTAAATGCTGGTACCATAGTATGGCCCCACAAGGCAAAGGAAAGGACAGTAGCTGGAGACCAACATTGCCACTAATAACAACCAGCCAGCTTGGAAAAACCTACAGTCACCACCAGAAGGGCCTGGCTTATTACTTTATCACTGGATTCATACATGTATGTGTGCCACAGCACATATGTGGAAGTCAGAGAACAACTGCAGGGACCTGCATCTCCCTTCCCCATGTGGACCCCTGGGGTTGAATGCTAATCCTTAGGCATGGCAGCAAGTACTTTACCCACTGAGACATCTCATGGAGCCCCAAGTTCTGCTCATAAACGAGAACTAAATGAGCTCTGTGTCTTTTCACACCAGGCTGAAGAAATTAACTTGAGCCTTTCTGCTTTGCACTTCAAAATGAAGGGGTTGAAAAGCGGAGTGAGAACAATGGTCAAAGCACTGGGTTTGAATTTCACTAGCTACTCTGATGGAGTGTGGAGCTGCTTGCCTTTGAAATTGTATATATTTATGTCCCTCAACTTCCAGAGGCTGTCTGGACTAAACTTTCTCTTAATGCGGCCCACAGAGAGACGGGAGACTTTAATGAGCAGTACTTAAGAAAATTTCCTTGTTCACAGAACACCGCGCACGTGGCCTGCTCGATCAGACAAAGAAACCCGAGCTCAGGAGTAGGGGCGCAGGGAGAGGGAGTACCTGCCCTCCAGTGTGGTTCTACAGGCTTCATAGTTCTCGGTGTCATCTGTCACCCACGGAATGAGCCTTTAATCCCTGTAATTTAAGGACTTCACTTTTCTAGTCCGTTCATTGCTCTTAGGGCTTGGCAGTGCTCTTGGCATGCTGCAGGGTGACAACTTGCACTGTCCTTTAAAGGCAGGAAATAAACCAGCCACCTCAATACAGGGTTCAACTGCAGCTTGCTCTCCTCAGGGATTTAAAAACTTTGCTCGGAGGATTGGAACATTTAGAGATAATTAGAACAAGCTAGGGATGGAAGGCTAGACAGTCTCTGCTCAGCCAGACCCTCCTACTTCATAAGTAGCCTTTTGTGGTTTATGACCCCCAGGATGCCAAGTCAAGAGAGGAACTGGAAATCGGGAAGAGGTCATTTTGCAAGATAGACCTGACTCTGAGTTTCTTTTTTTTTCCCCCTCCTGGTGTGGGTGGGGAAGGTCCATTTCAATTTTAAACTGCTACACATCACCCATATACACACAGTAGAGAAGCTGTTTATGCCACTGCGGGTATTATAATAAAAATTAATTAAACCAGATTTTAATACATAAACAGATAGGAGTCAAGTTCTTAATGGCTTCCTATTGAGGTACATCAGTGGCTGCTCCACTCCCCTTACATAGGTGATAGGTAGGGCACTTGCTGTCCCCATTTAACAGCTTCTCTTCCTTCTGCCCCTAAGGGCTTCAAGTGTAAGCTGTAAACATGTAAGCTGTAAACACCTACTTAACAGGCACAACACAGGACTCACCTGCTTTGGGCTCTAAGCCAGGTGGTAGCAGGCTCCTTTACCTAAGTTTTGCAGCACATAAGGAAGCTATCAAGGATATTTAAACACTATACAAATATTTGAAGATAAAGCATGTGGAACAAGCCAGAGCCTCTCACTGCCATAGATGTTGGTGTAATGATTGCTGAGAAATAAATGCCCATCAGCAAGAGAATAGATGGGTGGCAGGCTTCAAGATTGAAACCAACAGGAAGGAAAGACACTGTATGTGTAGAAAGGTAAGGAATCTTGACATACTCTTTGAACATTTCTAATTTTTTTTTTGTCCCTAAACACAAAATGAAATGTCAACTCCCATCAAAAGTTTCTCCATCTCTGTCAATTCTGGCCCCTGACTGTCTCACCTGGACAATAGAAAGAGAATCCTGTCTCATGTCTCCACTGCAACCAGTATTCGATCCCTTCCTTATACTGTCAACCAAGCAAGCTTAAAGTCACATTAAAACAAACACACAGTGCCCTCCTGGGGACCAAACCCTGTTCCAGACAACATGATATATAACTGGCTATTAGCCAAGCAGTGACCACAGGGCTTCATGCACGTGAGGCTAAAACCTATTCGCCCACTGCAGAACTATGATGGCCACAATCTCTACTTTATAGAACAGGGGTGATGACCTGATTCTGGGCTGACTTGCGCCCCAAAAGGCCTAAGGCATGAACCTTAGCTATCCTGCCAGGCTTCACTGATTGCAACTGCTACTCCCCGGCTTTCCTTCTATTAGCAGGGCTTGCTTTACTAGCCGAAAGCTGCTTAGAGCTGCCTTCCTGACTCCCCTGTGTCTCTGGTGCACACACAGAGGCACACTTTGTCTAGTAAGCCCTGTTCCAGCCCCTCTCCTATGACTGTGCTCTCTGTGTCCTTCCCTTGAGATCAGTGCAAGCCCTGAGTTACGTGTCTTCTCACCAGCAGCATTTGTCTTCGCCAATCAGCCCTGAGCTTTCAGAAGTGGCAGCAACATTTAGCTTGCTTTCTTCACTATGACAAATACCTGTTGTAAAGGTGGTAGGAGGGACACATATTGGCTGGCTCAGATGTTGCAATTGTGGCCTCTTAGCCCTACCATGATGGGCCTATTGTGAGGCGGAACATCGTGCTGGGAGAGGTATAGCTAATTAGGCAAAAGGCTTCTGTCAGGATAGGTTTGGGAGGGAGCAAGACAGAGAGGAAAGGGACAGAGACAAGATATGCCCTTCAAAGATGCAGCCCGGCAGCTTCCTCCCTCCAACTAGGGTCCACTCCATAGTTTACTCCCCTGTAGACCAATTATGAATACATCAATGGATTAATCCGCTAATATTTTCAAAGCCCTCACAATCCGATCACTTTTAAAAGTCCCACCTCCGAGCTGGGTACTGGGGAACCAACTCTTCAGCACTCGAACCTTCGGAGGACATAACTATCAAAAGTATAACTCCACCTTATGCACCCAGCACAGTGGTGTGGGAGCCCTAAAGTCCCACTGTCTTAAGAAGCACAGACTTGCTCTCAGGCATGCTCACTGCTTAAGTCCCTAACTACTTTCTGTATGTAATGATGCATTGCCGACAAAAGAGAGAATTAAACCTTCTAACTCACAGGAGAATGAAACAAAATACAAATTACAATGAAACCAGTTTAACTTCTTTTACTTATACCTCAGCAAATTTAACATCTTGGCCACATGCGAGACTGTGGGGTTTTAACAATTATCACCAAATAGAAAAGCATGCACACTGACATCTCCTCAGGAGAGAGGGTTCTAAACTGGTTAGGATGCAATCACTGACTGGGACTCAAAATTGTGTTGTTACCCTCATCGCACCATTTTGTTGTGCTCATAATACAAATCTACTAAGAAATTTCCTAAGTAACTTAAGTAGTTTCCAGGCAAACTGTCATGGCAGAGGTGGTGGGGTGGGGTGGGGTGGGGTGGGGGGGTGTACTTTACCTTAGGCTCTGTGCCGTTTGAGGTATCAGGGATTTACATACCACAGACAATATAATTCCCTCAATAATGGAATGAGAAGTTAGCCAGAGAGAGATGCAAGCTTATCTATAGTCAGGGTAATTACCTTGGCTGGCATTAGCATGGGGAATACTTTGTCTACGAGGAATGAGGTCTCAGTTTGTACTAAGCATTTTGACGCCATAGAAATTCAGAGTGATGTCTCTCTCTGACAAGTTGTGTTGGAAGCGCTCCAGACAGCAAACATGCAAGATATCGGCAGAGATACTTAGATCAAAGCAAAACAACAACAACAACAACAACAACAACAACTTGGGGCTGGGGAGATGGCTCAGCAGTTGAGAGCACTTGCTGTTCTTCTAGAGGATCAATGTTTGCTTCCCAGCACCCACAACCACCCATAATCCCCATTCAAGGGGCTCTGACACCCTTTTCTGACCTCCATGGGCACCAGGCATGCATATAGTACACAGATCTACATGCAGGCAAAACAGTGAAACATATAGAATAAATTTTAAACATTTCCCATATCAGGAATGTTATTTGGGAAATGGTAAGAAAGTAGATTATACACCCTATGGAAGAGAGGAAGTAGACCTTCAAGTGGTGCCATCTTAGAGCAGATACTTCATCTAACCTAAGCACGGTGCACGGAGCCAAAGTGAGGATAAACACAAAGCCCAGCCATTTATCCAGCTTCCAGCAGCGTAGAGATGAAATGGTAACAGGGTGGCTCATGTTACCTTACACGTTGCATTAAAATTCAGGGATCTCGAAGGCTCAATTTCTCTTCCACTAAAGGAAACATTTGTTCCTTAAAGTCAAACACACATGGCCAACAAGCAGGCTTCTGTGCTGAGACCGAGCAGTGTCTTTGTGTTCAAAGTCTCAGTGTATGGCCAACTAAATAGCAGGACTATTTTTCATCTTTGCTCCCTCCAAGAGAGTCACCTCACGCCAGCCCGATGCACATACAGCATTCTTCTCTGTCTGTAGCTCATCCTTTTAGCTCCCAACATCAGCATCCTTCACACCTTCCCACACCTCAACAGCATTAGTTATCTTTGCCTAACTACATATCAAAAAGCTACTTGAAATACAGAATGACCTAACAACACCCTCTGAGGTTGCAATCACAATTCAGGCTCCCAATTTCCTTTTTTCATTTCAAGTTCCAAGGTCTTAAAATTCATATATTACAGAAAGATTTCTGAACAAGCCTGAATTGGCTGAGTTACCATCTAACTGAGATTTGAGATTTACATATCTTTATAAAATAAAAACACTCAGAAAGAGAATGAACTTAAGTAATGTTGAAATATAAAAAGGTGACATTAGAAAGAAAACCAGAGATGCATCAACATAGCTCCTGACTCTGTGACAGTGCGACTCAAGGACTAAACTGTCTCCATAACCAGGAAATGTCAATGCACACCAGTTCACTTGTTAGGCTTCTAGAAGGGAAACAACAAGGTTGGCATCCAGCCTGAGAGACCTCACCAGGCAAAGTAACACCAGCAGGTGTCACTTCACCTTAAGTAGCAGGGGCTTGGAAGACCTGCACTTCAGGACAAAGCGAACAAAGTGAAACAAACGCATTGTTCTGAGGTAGGAAAAAAGCCAGCCAGCCCTACCAGTAATGTTTATTCAGTACCTCGACAGAAGGATGTTGCAATTCTGGGCTCTCCGACCATCAATCACGGACAGTTCTTTGACTTTCAGTTTGGAACTCAGTGTGTCATCAATGGCATCTGTTTCTTTCTAGAAAGAACCCAAGAGAAATCCATCAGTCAAATGAGGACACTCAGACTTGAGAGGCACACTTTTCTTGCACATGTTCTGTTCACACACACACACAATGCTCACATACACACATGGGCCAAGCTGAGATGATGAGGCAATGTTGGAAAGGTGGTGTAATCAAAACAAAGGCAAAGAAAATAAGCAAAGTTGACCACCCACATTTGAAAAAAACATTATTCAAAAGAACAAAGTGCTTCCAAGTTGAGGATTTTAAACGTGCATAAATTATCAGTGGAAGATGCTGTCCTTTTGTTCCTCAAATCTCTATAGACAGCAGACGGAAGAACTGTCACTATGAATCAAGCTCAGCAGGTCCTTGTCATTACTAGTCCAGTCATTTACGGGGCCCATTCACCCTAGAACTATTTGCAATCCTTAGCAGTCAAGAAAGCTGAAAAATAAAACCCCCAAACACCTTCATGTGCAATGTACAACAGGAAGCTCCCAAAGGCCAAATGGACCTTGCACTTCCCAACCCTGACAGAAGGACAATGAGGGGCAGTTGGAGAAATATGCTCAGTTACCTGAATTAACCTGTATATTTTATTTGCATATCCATTCATGATGGCCAGACATAACTAAGGTGCAACAGGTATAAATTAGATGCAAAATACATGTGAGGTATTATTTTAATACAAAGTTCAGGGTAAGAATACAGACTAACTTGGTAAGTAGCCAACTTACTTCATTAGTGGTTAGGGGCTTTCAAAAAATGCATCGTGGCATTTAAAAATATAAAGAAACCAGAAAGTTTCTGAACTGTGTAACCATTTAGGAAGCAAAGGCAGTTTGAATGAATATGGAGCACCATGGGGCTAAATGCCAATGGTCTCTTGTGCTCAGATTTCAGGCATACTTCTAGACAGCCCAGGAAGAGTCAATCCTAAAGAGGAATCGTTAGGCATTGAATTACAGACACTATCTAACAAGATAACGAGGGATTTCAAGCCTACAGTGGGCGAAGGAGTTATGTTAAGTAAGGGTTATACAGTAGCATACTTACCTGCTTGGAGTTACTGTTCACAAAGAACTCCTACAGCAATGGCAGAGGCATAGAAAAAGCAAATCAGATACATGCAGTTCAGAGACCACAGCAGCAAACAGGGAAAGTTAAAGCAGTCAAGGAGGCTAAGAGAACAGGAGACATTTCCTGTCTTGCAGTCACCAACTCAAGTGAGCCAGTCTGGCTGAAGATACAGTGAAGATCACAGTACCAGACATTTGGTATAAAGAAAGACAACAGATGGCACTTGCTACATATACCATTTCAAGTGGTAGCAAATCAAATTCAGAAAAGAAAACGGCTTAGGAGGACAAGCTAGGAATACAATAAGTCCTCTTTAAAACAACCACCAGGCTCCCATTTATTCAACGTGGTGTGCACACATACACATGAACACCCGTGAGCCCATGCACCCACACATGTATGTGCATGCTTACACACACACACAGTGCTCAAAACCAAGGCACGTTTACACATTAGGCAAATGGTCTACCACTGAACTATACTCACAGCTACCACACAGAATTTTTACTTGTTGCAGTTAAATAATCAGTACGACTGAACAATGGCCACTGCTATAGAAAACGTGCTTTTCTTTTGGTGGAAATCATCTGTCTTCTTGCATCATAAGAAAGAGTCTAGAAAAGTAAGTGGCGCATCCTAAGTAAGTGGACCAACCCTAATACCCTCAAGGGTCCAAACCGCAGCAGCAGGTGCTGTGGGGAAAAGCACAGCGCATGCAATTGAGAAGCCGCTGGCGTAGTTACTGGGTGGCATGTTTCAGTGGCCTGTGGGAGTTCATACATATAAGGTCAACAGCTTCTTCCAAGAGTGTTTAGAAAAGTCTCAGAGTGGAGGTGGGGAAGAGGAGCTAATGGTATGTTACACGAAAGCAGCAGCTTTGCTTGCATATTTTTGCAAGGCAGGAATGAGCAACACTTCGGTGTGCAAAACATGTTGCAGCTTTCAGGCCAACCGTGTGTACACTAGCATTTGCTCAGCAGATTCCTTAAGGTCTCCCTGGTCTCTGCAGTGGTGCCAAAACTGATTTTATACAGATGAACTGTTTTGTATAATTCTTCTCCTGGGAAACAGAAGGCATCCTCCCCTTGGTCTGCCTACACTAGGAGGACTACTTCTCTGGAAAGGCATTTAAAAAGCAAGCTGATAACCACAAGAACTCTTTCTTCTGCCTGATATCCCAGTTCTCTTTTGCCCCTGTTAGGAATTTCTACTCTGAAGCTCTTTAGGACTCTTCCAGTAAAAGTTATTTCAAGGGCAGAAGGCAATGGCAAAACGAACTCTATGAAGCCAAACTTAACCAAAGAGAAAAGTACTACTTTAGATTAGGTCCTGCTCTCGTTGTCTACTCTTCAAAAAAGAAATTTTTATGAAGCTTCTTAAATCCATTCACACTGTTGGGAAATGAAGACATCTGACTTCCGGTATGACAGTCTATGGAATCAGGCAGCTGTCATTGGCTGGGTTTACGCCCTATGGTGACCCAGGCTACCCATCTATGATTATTGTGAGTGGTAAATGTGACAATACAAGTTAAACTTCCTATGCAGTATCCAACACATATTTATGAGCTCCAATCTAGAAGCAAACATAACATACAATTATTGTAGCTTTCTAACTGACGAGTCACTTTCCCGGCTCTGCCCTTCTGGCTGAGTGGTAGAGTGGCTGGCCCAGATCTCCTATTTGAAACCATGAGCAGCAATAAGCATGGCAGCTAAAAGCTAAGCAATGCATCTTATCTTTCCAGAGAGGGTGAAGATTGCCCTGTAAGGGTTTCGGTAATTGTTAGCCTTAAGACAACACTTCTGTGAAGCTCCAGCTATCAGCACATTACAAATAAAATCAAACAAGATGGGTTTCATTAGGTGCCATGTACTAGAAATAATCAAACTACTAGGTTCACTTCAAGTATGTTCAGATTCTCTTTGAAACCTTATCCCCTCAGAAATCAAAGGCCAATATAAATAATCTTGGAATATAAATAGAAGTTGATATTTGCATTTTCAGGGACCAATGCTTGTAAACTACTATAAATGGTTTCACAAAGAAATGATGGCTCAACCTTGCATGGATAATGATAATCCTTACATGAATGGATCTTAATCCTTTCAAAATGAAACAGATGCTATTTACATACAATCTTGTCTTTGATAATTTTTACCATGCAAACTAGGTACAGACCCTCAAACTACACTTAAAAATAACGTATTTATTTATGTATCTTTGTGTATGTGTTGTATATGTCTACACACGTGCGTGGGTACCCCATATCATAACATATGCATGGAGTCAGAAGATATTATGCAACTATGTTCTCCTTTTCTACCAAAAGGGTTCCAGGGTTTGAACTTAAGTCATTAGACTTGGTAGCAAGTTTCTTTACCTACAGAACCATCTCTCCAGCTACAGTTAAAAAATAAGCAAATAAACAAACCCGATAACACTAGTCACAGTTTTTCTTGTCTTTAAGTAAGTACTAAGACCAAGTATAATGAGGATCATGAGGACTGGAGCAATAGCTCAGGGGTAGAGCACTTGCTGAGTGAGTATGAAGCCCTAGATTCTATCTCCAGTGTTACAAAGTCAAAGCAAAGTGAGAAAACTCACATTGTTGGGGGGGGGCAAAAACATTTTACATGATGTTTTTCAGTGTTAAAATTAGATGCAAACTGAGTTTACTGTAAAAAAAATTAAAAAAGAAAAAATTATTTGATCCTTCATAAGGAATCTATAGATCACCCAAATATTCCAAATGACACCCTGAAGGACTTAAAATATTATACTCCAGCAGTAGAGTTGGAGAGTGGAGCCTGGGCCAGTAGCTTTCCTTTGTTCCCTAAATCAAAGGATGATGGCTTTGAAATGTTACACAATGTGGTGAGCACAGGCCCCTAAAAGAAGAGCTGTCCTTGCACAGGGCAAGAAGGAGGGGGACACTGTGAGCTGCTAGTGGGCTGCTACAGAGCAATACTCCTTTTAGGCAAATGTAGTATTTTTAGCTTATTGTTCCTCTCTCCAACTGCACAGATATGAATTGATAGTGTATCAGGATGAAAATTCCCCATTACAGATGTGAGGACAATTCAACTGTATCTTAATAAAACTATTACACAGCATCCAGTGTTACGTATTAAAAACTAGTCTCTTGTGGCTGAGCTGGAGATCATGTGTAATGTGGTTCCAATGAGGAAAAGGTCTTGAGATCCAAGGAATTGACTTTCAAATGAGCTTGTGGAATGTGCACAGGGGAATAGCTACACGCTATTAAACCCCATTTCGTGGGAGGCATAAGCTTACATAGTCGGCTCTCCACACCTTTAATGCACGCACTCTTCCTAGTCTGGTAGTGGTAATGAATAAACCGCAGATCAGAGAACAAAGAGGAGCCGAGAACTCTGCACTCTAGTTCTGAGTGTGTCACCTGTTGGGATACCGAGTACACACTAAGCCCTATTTTCAGTATCTGTAATATGAGAATACTGCATCACCCCTAGAGCTGCGGTGAGAACTGAATAAGAAAATAAGTACAGGAACTTCTTAAGCATTAAATTTTAGGGTTGGCCTGATTGAGAACTGTTTATATCATACCCAGTGCCAGAAACATAGCCAGCTTTCGATAGTGACCATCGTCGTGGTCTCTATGACAGTTACTTATAGGTTTTCCCATCTCTGCTTTGTACTATAAATATATTGTGGGCCTATGCACATGTTGAATGCATTTGCATCATTTAAATCCTTTGACACAGTTCATAAATAAAGGTGATAAACTTAATACTTAATTTTAACGATAGAATAATTCTCAAATCAATGATATATTTTATATGTATAGAAGTATATAATCAAATTTATATATATTTATGTAGGCATGCGTTTACATATACATACATGTAAACATTCCCACATTGTTTATTCCTTATTTAAATTATGCTAACTTGATACTTCTGAGTTATCTCAAAATTAGGCTCTGAGGGTCCTACGTTTCTGTGTTCCTCCACCTGCCTGAAAAATTCATCTACACAAATAAATGGCTGACGTCCAGAATTTGACCAGTTTCATAGCTTTATAGCAAGGGAAGAGATGCCAAGGAAAATGATGGGTTCTCAGTATTCACTTGGCACTAAAAATAAGAGCAGTTTAAATGTGGTGATAATCACACAATGTGTTGCCATGCCTAGACTGAGCATGCACAGGTTTTTGATGCTGCCATTCTGGGATGAGGGAATTGTCAAGGGACTGGCGCTCTACCTCATTTACTCTGAAATACACATTACAATCAAAATGCTTGTAGCTTTTCATTTTCTGACTCTCAACAATGTAAATGCAGTGAAATGGCTCAAGTTGCCCTCGTGTGAAAAATATAGTGATGATTTATCTTCTATTTTTATAGCAGAAGGGAATATTTAAAATACTCAAGTGGAGCGGGTGTTGTTGAAATTTTTCTTCGGGAAGTACTGCTGGATACGGTGATGCCCCTCACCAGTCTACCCATGTTAAGAAGAACCGAAACGTGCTGCTCCATCCTGTCAGAGATGACCATTGACTACTTAAACAGTGATGGTTGCTAGGAGATAGTTACTCAGCTGCAGAGCTTTCTGGGATTGTGCCTCCCAGAACTCTTGAAAACTGTCCACGTATTTGTCCCAGAGCATTTTGGCAGCATCCTTCTGTACTTTCTGCTGAAAGCCAGTTAATTACGAGGCTTGTAAACTTGGGTCTTTCAACCACCTGCCTTCCTCACACATTCAACCCACATGCTCAGACTTGCATGGCACAGTGTGGACTACCTGCTGCTCCCCTCCATCTCATCTGCTTTCCTGAGGTTCCATACCTTCACCTCAGACAGCATGAAGGGCAAAAGAAATGGGACTTGTAGCCAGATCAGAGGGTTACTTGAATTAGTCAGGATCTTGCTAAAATTTTATGCCAAGATGCAGGGGCCTCCTTCCTAAGGCAGTGGAGAGAGAAGAGGCACACAGCAACCAATCAGGGACAAGACAACTATGGGCAGAAAAGCCACAGGACAAGGGCTCTGAACACATCTTTGCTTGTTCTTTGAAACATAAGGTGTACTGTTTGCCTCTGAACAACCCTTTACCTCCCCTTACTTGGTGCATCAGCACTGAGCATGGCACCTTCTCACTTACGAAGGGGCTGGCTGAGGGCTTCGGCTTTAGGCTCCATAACACCATGGGAGGCACCTCACTTTCTTTCCCACTCTACTGAACCAGCATAAGAGGCCCTGCACAGACACTTGCTTGGCCCCTCTTCCAGCAAAGTCCCCTAGTGAATCATACCCTGTCCTCCCAAGATAGACACATCAGAAACCATCTTGAAAAGAGATCGCGGCTCAGCTTTTCTCTAGCCTCTGTCCATCTCCTTGGTGCCTAGCACTTCTGTTTTGAGACAGTATTTCTGAGGGACTGAGCCAAGAAAGCAGACCAGGAAGCCTTCTGTTTGCTTAAGGATGCCCCACCCTGCTCATGATTCATGCAGGAGTCAGGCTGCCAGGGCAGCCCTCAGGAAACCCCTGTGCAGAAGCCCAGCACTTGTGTTTGCCCGTGTGAATGCAGTGTGCACTGTTCACTGGTCCTCTCCTTCAGTCTGCCTTAGGAATCTCTCTCTCCATATTCCTGGGCTCAATTTCCCCTTCTCCAGGACTCCTGACTGATTTTGCCACACCTTTTCTTTGTTCGCCTGAACTCTCTGTATGTAGCTACCATGTCCTAACTTTTGGCCTACACTTTATATCTTTGGAGGAAGCTCTCTAGAGCAACAGGAGAGTCTACATAGATGTGACCAAGGCAAATACAAGGGGGCTACCTACCTGTAGGTAGTGTGCCTTATCAGTGTGCGCAGGCAGTGGGTACCACGCCACATGTTCTTGCTACCATCATGGAAATGTTAGTAGTAGCTTTTCTGGCTTTGTTGGTATCATTGACATTTTCACACTTGCTCAGCTTATGTAACCCTGCTAGTGAACCTATAATGTTCGTGACATTTGGTTGAGAGTCCTCTGTAGATTCTATTTAGCTGCCAAATTATAGTTTTTACAAAATTCCATACTTGTAAAGAGACCATTTTGATTCTGATATTAAACATTTGATATTTCTTTGAACTCAGACAGCCCAGAATGGTTTCAGAAACAAATATCATAGGGTGACACTATTTTTCCCACATTCAATTTGGATAAGCATAGACAAGACAGAAAGAGGACTTTGGACATGTACCACGGTAGGAAGCGTCTCCACAAAGAGTCCACATGCCTTCAAGTGGTTCATATGCACTGACTAGCCACTGAACGCATACACGGACATGTAGTTATGCCGCTGTGCAGGAACACATCAAGGAGACCAAACATCATGAGCACTAACGTGCTCATGCATCATGACTCCAGCAGGTGGACCAGGGGTCATGCATAAGGACCCAGTATTTTGGGGCATCTGGAAGGCACATGTTACCTGCTGTCTTTGGTAAGCAGAGAAAGTTCTTTCTAGGTCTTCAAGGTCTAGGATTTTGAACACTTTGGTATCATCGATTTCAGTCCATACTGTTCCTTCCAATTTGTTCTAGAAACATCAAGTTAACAAGGTCCATGATTGACAGTCATACAGAAAAAACAAGTTGTTTTTCTTAAAAAAGTACTACTATTCCAAAATTAAATTCTATAGGATGCTTCAGTGAGCTGGTTTGAAACCATGTGTGATTATTTCAGAGACATTACCAACTAACACAGGAGCTGGGGAGAATCCTGAGTCCACACCAGATGGTCAGGCTATCCAGCAGTAGAGACATTTCCCCCTCTGTGAGGACACTGAGCTGCAGGTGCCACCCACTGATACATTAATGGGAAAATGGGAATGGGTGTCTTACCTCAGGCAGCTTAGACCAGTTGAAGGATTTCAGAGCATTGGTGGGCTGGGGAATGTTTTTCTTCTTGAGCGTCAGACTCACTGGAGCACCAGGAGGAGGCAGGATTCCTCCTAAGGGAGGAGGTCCTGGGGGAGGAGGAGGACCCCCAGGAGGGAGGGGAGGTGGTGGGGGAGGAAGTGCTCCACCTGAGAAAAGTGGGGGTGGTGGGGGAGGGAGAAGAGATCCTAGTCCAGAAGAAGGAAAGGGTCCCCCTGGGGCTCCAGGTGAGGGTCCTCCTGGAACCGAAGCACAGACCGCTCTCTGGAAAGAGAAGATCAGGAAGAATCAATGAAAGGAGAAAACTCATTAGATGACTCTAAGAATCCAATTTCACCTAAGGAACATGTAACAGAGCACCTACATTTCTCAGAATGAAGGTTCAAGTTTGGCTAAGTCAAATGGACTCTCCTGGACCCTCATGTCTTGTGACACAAAAGTGCTTTTTGCAGAGCCTTTATCTCTGTCACTTGCACCATCCTACAGTTTGGTTTTCATGGCATCCCTTATCTACGTAGCTAATGTTGAGTTCCTTTGTGCTTAGGACAAGATTAGTGGTCAAAACTCAACTCCAAGCTACTTCTGCTGCCTAAGCCGCCATGGGATGTTGGTGGTTCAAGTCCACTACTGAGATCAACTGTGAAACATTTCAGAGCTTGTTCCTACATCAGAAGTGTCTACTTCAGGGCAGCAGGCCCAGGAGGAAAGAGGGTCTCGATGGCTTTGTGGACAAGAGGCCAGGTCTCGGGTCTCAGTCCTCACCCTGTTGAGCTCATGCAGCTGTGCTGTGAGATCTGCCACCTGCTGCTTGACTTGCTTGTGCTCTGTCGTCTCCTTTTCGAGCTTCTCTTTCATCTTATTCAAGGTCTGCATCATTTCTTCCTTCTCTTGGGTCTTGGCATCACATTCTCTCTCTTTCTTCTCCAGCTTCTGTTGTAGCTCATTGTGTTCTATACAAGAAAACAGGACATGAAAATGGCCCTCAGGCAGGAAGCATTTGTGTTAAAAAGAAAAAGGAAGGAAGGAAGGAAGGAAGGAAGGAAGGAAGGAAGGAAGGAAGGAAGGAAGGAAGAAATGCTGAGGATGACATAGAGATTGTGGGTCAGCCTGTCCTGAGCACCAGTCTTCTTCCTTATGCAAGGGCAACTCAAGGGGCTAAACAGTGCTCACGCTGGGAAATGGCCTCATACAACAAATTTAGTAACTACATTTTGGAAAAGACCAAAGACACCCTAAAGCCATGGTTCTAAAAATGGGGGAGTGGGGGTGGGGGGAAGAGTCTTAGCAAATTCTCATAGAGAATGGTATCTTAATTCTGAGTCCTTACACGGAGGTGGCCTAACAGCTACACTAGGGAAATTGATTATTAAAAGAAGGGTCCTTCTCACAAATTAGAAGTGGGTCATGGAGAAGCCCAGCACTGGTGAATGAAGTTAGTTGGCTTATGTCCCACTAGCAGGAGAAGGATTCTGTGCTGTAACAGAGAGCTGCTGGCAGCGCTAGCTAGCGTGCACTCATAAGCTGAGTCACGTCTTCCTGCTCCCTGGGAAGGCTAGCTGAAGTACTATGTGCTTCTGGCAACTAATTATTAAAACTAATAGAAGCAAATGCTATTGTGTCTGTGTTCGGTAACTTAAGGATGGCAGTGTTGATTAGGAATGGGAACCACAGGACTGAGAGGACAAAAAGGCTATGGTTACTGACATCCCCAGGTATGGTGTCACGGGACAGGGACATCTGACTTCCACAGGTGTGGTGTCACGGCACATGGGGATCTAGTTCAGCATAATAATGTTCGTTTTTGCCAATGAATATAAGCTTGTTGATGGGAATGATGGGCTTCAGAAAAGAGACATGATGACGTTTATTTAGGCTGCAGGTTTCTAATTTCAAATACTTGCCCTCAATGCCTCTTCTTTTTATAATAAACACACTGGGGACACAGCCCACTGGGGCTGAACTTTACACAGCTGGCCACTTCTGAATTTGGTAACACATTTAAACTCTTAAGGTCTCTTTCTGATCGCCCCTCCTCTATGGCTCTCCAAATTGAAATCCGCAGGAAGGTGTGAGACATTAAAATCCTTGAGTTTTGTCAGCTTCCAAACAAAACAAAACAAAGCAAAGCAAAGCAAAACGAAACAAAACCAAAAAGCCTTCAGTCACATTTACCACTCCACTGATGCCTTACTGTGTTCCATTTTCCTTCTCCTATCCCCACTTCATTCAGCACTGATAATTAAGAGATTAGGAATGTTCCTTCCCCTCTTTCATCATTAGCCTTTGACAAATCTGGCTGTGTCTCAGATTCAGTGAGAGGTCTTAACATTTCAAGATCACTGTCCACGGCCCTCTGCAAGCAGTGTACACAGTAGGTGGGGACAGGGCTTAGGAAATAGGTTAGAACAGGCTCCTTGATGGTCCTGAGGTGATAACACATTTAGGAAGTGCCAGCCTGAAAACTGTCTCCCAAACTGAGATCATTTACTCTCCATTCATGGAGTATTTATGACTCATGTCAGAGTCCTGTGCTCCATAGGCTCCTCCCTCAAATACTGTCCGCTCTTAGGTCCAAACAGCTTCCTATGGCCTCCTTTGAAATTGTCAACAATTCAGTCTAACTTTGCTAGCTGAAGCTTTCAGAGGAGAACAAATTTTATACACAATTTCTCCTCTCTTTTGTCATACGTCAACTTCACTTACCCCGCATTGTCCCCACCGACCTTGGATATGTCCTCCTATGCCCTTACCACTGAACCCTGCAACGGTTTCTAGCATTTGCTGTGTTATTAGTAAGTGCCCAACACCATGCCAACTTTCCATTTCTTTTAAAGTTAATCTTCACAACAACCTGTGAAGTGGGGCTCATGGGGGGGGGGGGGAGAAGATGTCACTGCTCACAGGAAGGAGGCTGGAGTTCAGACGCCCACTGCGAAGCCAGCACAGTTCAACACACCAGAGACACTCAGGTGCCCACTGAATACATGGCTGGACAATGCAAAATCTCATGTCTCAAGTGCTCTTGATTGTAAACTCACACCTACACACTCTAGAGTCCGTTCTTAAGCATCTACCCACTTGACTGCACTCATCTGCTTTTGGTAGCTTTGATAAACAGCACAACGAAAAGCACCCTATGGAGGAGGAAAGGGTGTGGTTTATCTTATACTTCCAGGTCATAATCAACCACTGAGGGAAGTCAGAACAGGAACTTGCCAGGAGCTTGAACGGGAAACCACAAATCACTGCTTACTGGCTTGCTCTCAGGCTCACAGTCAGCTACCTTCCTTCCTTCCTTCCTTCCCTCCCTCCTTCCTTCCTTCCTTCCTTCCTTCCTTCCTTCCTTCCTTCCTTCCCTCCTTCCTTCCTTCCCTCCTTCCTTCCTTCCTCCTTCCTTCTAATTAATTTTTATTTAAATTAAAAACAATCTTATTTTACATACCAATCCTAGTTCCCTCCCTGCCCCATCCTCCCATCCCCCCGAGTTACTTTTCTTATACAGCTCAGGCCTACCTGCCTAGGGATGGCAAGGCCCACAGTGGGCTGGGCCCTCTTACATCAATCTACAACAAAGAAAATGCCTCAAAGACATGTCCACAGGCCAGTCTGATCAAGGCAACCCCAAACTGAGATTGTCTCAGGTAACACTGGGCGTGTCAGGTTGGCAGCTGAAGCCAACTAACTAGAAGAGGAACTATGCTCTCCTTAGCTTACTCTCTCCTTTCCACCCATAGTGGGTTCTGGAATGTATTATAAAGACAATTTGAGAGCAATGTGGGTAAACAGCAGCACCAGCAGCCCTTGCTGTTGGCCTTTCTCACTCCCTCTGGTGGCTCTGAGGAAACGTGGTGTGAGAAGAGGGAGTGCTCGGGCAGCTCTTGACATTTTCCAGAACACTGGGTGCTGGGTGAACAGGGCTGTATTTTCTTAGCTGTGACTGAATGGCTTTGGCAAGTGGAGGAGACTCCCTCTTTCAGTGTGGTGAAGTGTGGGGGAGTGTGACTGCGTTCCCAAAGGTGACTTGAATTTGCTAAGGAGGGAGGGAAGCTGTATGCTTCTGGGAGTGGCTGGCACCAGGAGGAACACAAATATCTCTCCTATCAGAGGCTGAGGGACAGCATCAAAGGCAGATTCCAATACCACTAGCGGTTGGCCTGCTAACGTTCCTAATGTATCTCTACAGAGGTTATTGATTTTCCACACGATTTCTCTTTCTATGATGGGTGCCACATTAGAGCCAAGGAGAGACTAGAACTGCCCACACCAAGTAGCCTGTGCTTTTGTCCTAAGAGTCTGAAGAAATCCTAGGCTGCTGCTTGCAAACCCAAAATGCTGTAAGGGAAGTGCAGCTGCGGGCAGGGGCTGGTGTGCTCAGGAGTTTTCATAGAAATCTTGAACTAGTTAATTTAAAAAACTGTGTGTGTGTGTATGTGTATGCACGTATGCGTGCGCACACACGTGTGTACAGGGGGCATGTGTGTAGGTTAAAGGTGAGAGTCAATTCTTTCCTTCCACTACGTGGCCCCTGGGGATCAAACTCAGGCTGTCAGGCTTGGTAGCAAGTACCTTTGCCCACTGACTCAATGTAGGGTCCCTTAAAACAAACAAACACAAAACAAAACAAAAAACCCCCACACTTTCTTTGTTTTCAATTAATGACTTATGAACAGCAAATGTTATAATCTTTTCTAAAATACTTACAGAATAATAAAACATAAGGATGAAGTACCTGGGAAACAGCTAAATGGTTGGGGTTTAAAAAGTTAATCCAAAATGCTCCAAGATGTGAAAAAGAAAGGCTACTTGATGTGCAGAAGTGAACATGAACCCAGTTCCCCAAAACCCAGGACACTTAAGCAGAGCCACACCTGCCAGGCCTTGCCATTTACCTTTTCGCATTTTCTCTGCCTGTTCTTTCCACTGCTTAACTTCATTTTCATTAACCAACCTGCAGAATAGTTAAAGGAAATACTTGTTACAAAGAACAAAACATGTCCGTTGCCAAATGCGTTCTCCTTGGGAGCACAAATAGCATACTGCGTAGACTCCACCCCGCAGTGAAACCCAGATGTGTGTATCTGTAACATTTCATCTGTCTCAGCTGCCAGTCTGATACAGGACAACATGAGTATCTCAGAGCACTGGCACCACAATCTCACAGACAACAAGATGGGAAGAGTCTTACATTCTTACGACGTTCTTAATATTGAAGTTTTCCAAAGGTGTGGAGTCAGGGTCCTGGCCTTTGTCATTCTGGATAACTATTTGCTGTATGATTCTGTCTAGTAGCAGCCAGTACTGAACTGTGTTACCACTTCTCTTGTCTAAAACAGAAAAGAAACTAGGATGAGTAGTTTTTAACAGTGGGCACCCTTCGGGCCATGGATCTAACCAAGAGGCGCTCCCCATACCCCTCTGCATGTGTTGTAAGACATGCACTTATTTTGAAATCAAAGTAAATTGAAGATCATTTCATTTTGAGGATTTCATAACTGTCCCTGATCTGGGAGGAAACAAACAGAGGCTTCGGGCGGGTCCCTGGTGTGCACCCAATCTAGTTAGCACTGTCGAGAAGACAGAACCCTTGGGTGCTGTCCCCACTGCCCATGGCGTGCACAGTCACAGCACTCACAAGGCATCTGGAGGCAATGGTGCAGAATGGACATGAAGTGAGGGTAGGCTTCACTGTGCGTCAGCCGCTTCCTTGTCAGCTCAAACATCTGAGTTGCACTTTTTGTGTCTATGTGAACCTATTTTAGAGGAAAAACAAATCTGAATGAGACATCAAATTTCATCATTCCCCCTGACAGAAGAGTGCATGCCATGCATATATATATATATACACAAGTGGGCCCTGCCACACAGGGAGCAGGACAGGGAGCAGGACTTTGCTCACAGGCTGCACAGGCCCAGAGCAACATAGAGCATGCATCTCAAGAAGCAAATACTATGATTTGACAATTCACATCAGAATAATTATAAGAGTACATACCAGTTCAAATCTTTTGGCAAATTCTAGTTCATCTTCATTTCGGAGCATTTCAAAAAAGTCTAAATGCCTGAAAGGTAATTGATCAAAAATTAGTAAAACTGGAGCATCTACGAAAACAAGCTCAAAGGACTCAGGATATTCAAGTGTAGGCCTAGGAACTCTGTGGTGCTGTATTGATGTAGCTCCATCACTCAGGAGATGGATACAGGAGCAGTCTAAGCTCAAGCCCAGCCTGGGCTGTGTAGTGAGTGCCAGGCTCAGAAAGCAAAGTCAAGGGATGCAGAACAGTAGTGGATAACTGGCATCACATGTAAGGTCTTGGGATTGACACTCAGGCTGGCATAGAAAAATTAAAAAGACCCTTCCTGATTTTTAGTGCTATTTCCAAAAGATATGCCTTTGCTTAACCATGTTCCTTCTAAAGAAACAAACAAAAAACCATATCTGAGTTAAATAAGATCATAGTAAGAATATTAAAAAAAGGGGGGGGGACCTAGGATGCATAGCACATCATAGGTAATCATAAAATGAGTAAGTGCTTATCAAATCTAAAAGATTCCATTTGCTGACTCTTTCTTGGAAAAACAAGTTCATTAGCACACACTTGACTTGCTACTGAGTTAAAGATCAGAAAAGAAATATCCGTGCCATTCTTCATTAGTGTGCATTTTGATTAACCTCCTACTCTGTGTTCTACAGTTCAGGAACCATGCAGTGCATGAGGTAAGGGGGATAGAAAACACCCAGAAGGGAATAGAACTGTTCAATAGTTGAAGAGGTTGCTCTGCAGAGAAAGGGAACAAGTGGTCAGAGCATCTGTGAAAGGTGTTCAGAGCCAAAGAGACACTAAGTACAAGGGTCCCAGGCAAGTGTGTCTGGACACCTCCATGCATCATCGTCAAGGCAAAGAGCATGCTGGGTATGTGAATGAGGAAGACAGCAGCAGCAGCAGCAGCAAGAATCGCAAACTGGTGGGGATGCCTTAGACATGGTAACAAGTGAAAGTGGCTGCAAGCTGGCACTCACAGAATGCCTATTAAAGTTACTAAGTGACACAGGTCTCGGAGGCAGGTCTTATGATACAACTGGAGTCCAGCTGCCATCGCCATTATTATCACTTTAATAGGTAGTAGAAATAGGAAAGTTCAGAAAGAGTAACTTTAGCAGAACACAGAGGAGGCAAGACTATGGCAGGACAGATTTGGGCCATGCTGTTTCCTGCACTGACAAAGTTTCACCAAAAGAACATAATAATCTGAAGTGACAGGCTGTGTAGGCTCCTGATGTGACTGGCAGGCTGGAAGCAGCCTATGGACTAGCCCTTCACCTGGCATGGACCCTCTCAACCTGTAACAGTATGACTTACCTGTCTAATGTTGAATTTTCATGTTCCCTTAATTTATCTATAACAGGTTGAATTCCTAACATCAGAAATTCATAGCGAAGATGGAGTCTGAAGTCCAAGCTCTCCTGAAAATAAAAGGGGGCACAATACAAATTTATAGTTTTTCAACTCTATCGTCACCACACTGGAAAAGCATTCTTTAATGCTATCTGTGTAAAACTGCAGGACAGAGTTCTTACCACTCCGGCTCCTTGGCTTAGCACTGCATTGATGAAGGACATGATGGCAGTCTTGAGACTCACTTCATCCCGATAACGCCCAGTGCTTTTGTCCAAGTCATTAATTAATGTCTGTCAATTATACAAATAGAAAAAGTAGGGTCTTAATCATTACCAACCCCACCTATGCTCATTTTAATAATTACTTTTTAATGCTTGGAGGTTAATTTTTTAAATCTCCCTTAGAGTTACACTGATTCACAGAAAGGCTCCTATGAACTCTTTTCCGGGTGTGGTCACAGCACCTGTGTATAAGACACAGGAAACTTTGCCTCCCTGTCTCTACTTACTTTCTGCTTTGGAGTAAAAATATAATGGCATAGTCTTGTTATTAATTTTTAACCTAAATAAAGAATAGTAACCTGTAAAGTTTTCAGGGAACATTCCAGTCAGTAGATTCAAAAGATGCATGCTATGTAACACATATCGTGCAGTCACAGTATTTTTGTTTTCAAATTTACTTTATTAAAGGTATTTGTTTTTATTTTATGTGTGAGTGTTCTCCCTGCATGTAAGGATATGTACACCATGTGTGTGCTCAGTGCCCAAAGAGGTCAGAAGTCATCAGGGCTCCTGGAACTGGGATTACGGATGGTGCTGAAGCCCGACTCTGGGCCCTCAAGAGTAACATGTACTGTGGCCCAGGGTCATAGTTTTGAGTTCAGTGTATCGTACACCCTGGAATGATCAACAGAGAAATCATATTCTATTTTCTTGAACCTAAGAGAAAGGGAATGTTTGAAGACAAAGTGTGAGTGCTGGACGGAACTATCAGGCAACCCCTTCAGGGCCAGAAAAGGCCCCGTTAGTGTAGAGCACGGTGGAGCACCTACCTGGAAGCGGGTTCTCTCACTGGCATACTTCTGGTAGTGCAGCATAGCCTGCAGAACTTTCTTGTGACCCCCAGGAACCAGGCACACAGCGCCCAGGATTTCCAGCACGGCCACCTTTGTTTTAATGTTCTCTGTGCTCAGACTCTGAGCAATGACATTAATACTCTCTGAGTGAGCCAGGACATGAGCCCGGCCTTGAGAGTTGTTCATTAGTGCCTTTATACAGCCAATGAGGGAGGTATGTATCCGAGACTCAGAGGTCTCGTAGTCCATAGTCTTCAGAAAGTTGAGAATACATGACAGGCCATCCAAATCGATGAATCTGGTGACAAACCTGTCAGGAAGAAAAGTGATTAGATCTGTTCCTTTGTGCTTCTGCAACCATCTTTAATAGAAAAGCCCAGGGAGAAAGGAAGTAGACTTACTTCCTGAAGAACCTAAAGGCTGACATTAATGAGGCCTTTGTAATTCTTTGCCTCTTCCACAGCCAGACCCAATGGTTAGTCGGTCTACCCAGACTGTGAAAAGGGTCACTTGTCTGTATACCTAGAGGACAGCTTTGGGTCATATGGCGACACTGTTTAACACTGAGGAACTAGCTGCCCTACTACACCCTCAAATGGCTGCACTGACACTCCTCAGAGCAATAAAGACGGCCTTGCCATACTTATGTTCTAGCATTCTTTCACTCCTTCTACCTCCTCTCTCCCTTCCTTTTCTTTTCCAAATGTTATCTGTCCTAGTCACCGGCCGCCTTTCTGTTAAAAGAAGGAAAGCACTTACCAAAGGTTCAGAGATCAAAGTAGCTACCCGTGGTTCAGTTACATGCTTTTAAATGCAAGAGTCCCTGGATGGTTAAGCATTGCGCACGCAGGAGGGAGAGAGGGAAGGAGAGGCAGGACGGGGAAGGAGAGGGCGGCTGTGCTACCCAGGGAAAGCACCTCATGGGTTTTGTCCTCAGTGCTGTCTTTAGGCTCTCGATGGTTTTACTCCTCTCTTCCTCCTCTTCCTTCTCTAGAGCCAGCAGAGATTTCCTCTACAGAAGAAAAACGTACCAGAAACTTCAGTGCATCTACGGTTAAGATTTAGTACCAGAAAAAACATAGAATACCACGAAGAACTATGCAGAGCCTTATCTGTATTACAAGTTAGACTTTCAAAACTATAAAGGACATTTTAATAAAGTGTTTGAACATTTTAGAAGAGGTTAAGTTGCACAAATGTTTGTACAATTATTGTATCACATGCCCTGATGCAGATGTCACCATTTGTACTTGACAGAGACAAGAAACTGGGCCTATAGCTGGGTGCAACTTTCTGGCAACTAAAGGTAAAAGCATCACAGGGTCAGGTGACACACACAGCCACTTTCCCATGTGATCACTAGAATTACTTGAAATTGGTATCAAGATGAAAGGGATTTCTTTATGTCATTTTTTTTTAAAGTAACATTTAAATTGAATCTGATACTAAGATGGTCTCTACTCTCAGAATAAATGACAGGGGGGTTGTGGGGGACAAAGACAGGAAAGGCGTCTCTCTCTCATGCGCGCGCACGCGCACACACACACACACACACACACACACACACACACACACACTCTGCAGAGAGCTGCAGTGCTTCTCCAGCTGACTGTCTTAGCAGGTCTGAGGAAGCCTGAGATGCAATATTCCTTCAAATATTTCCAGGCAAAGCTGATAACACAGGAGCAGGGCTCTAAGTAAGCAGATCTCAGTGACATTAGTTATTTATTTACATATTGTTTGTATGAGTGTGGTACTGTGTGTATGCATGTGTGTGGCAGGTGTCGTGAAACTAGGGGAGAATATCTACTGAGTGTTCTGCTCTACAACACTCCACCATATTCTCTCTTCTGTAAAAAAGTTATTATTCTCATTTTATGTGAATGGCTGTTTTACCTGCATGTATGTATGCCATGTGTGTGCAATACCTGAGAAAGCCAGGAGAAGGCACTTGATCCCTCAGAACTGGAGTTACAGATGGTTGCGAACTACCATGTGGGTACCAGGAATCAAGGCTGGGTCCTCTGGAAGAGCAGCCAGTGCTCTTTACCTCTGAGCCAGCTCTCCAGCCCCGCCTGCCACAGTCTCTTTCATTGTATCTGGATGTCAAATGTGATATGTTGTGTGTCTGTGATAGCAGTGTTAAATGTGACAGAATCTATAATCCCCTGGGAGATGAGCTTACAGGCATGCCTACTTTGGGGGATTATCTTGACTATATTAATCGATGTTAGAAGACCTATTCTAATGTTGAGTGGGATGGTCCCCTGGGCAGGCTACCCTGGACTGTAAATGGAGAGGGCAAATGCTGAGGACTGGCAGTCACTGCTCTCTGCTCCTGACTGTGGATGTTGTGTGACCAGGTGCTCCGAATCCTGCTGCCTTGCTTTCTCTACCATGATGGCTCAAAACCTTGGATTGTGAGCAACAATAAATACACTTTCTGTTAAGTTGCTTTTCTCAGAGAATTTATCCTAGCAACTGGGAAAGAAGCTAAAGCACCATCTCCTGAGTCCTCCGGTGATATAAAGGCACAATGTCCACAAGGTTTAACATCTTTTCATCCATCATCACCTAGCTGTGCCATGCCCTCACCTCTTACCCCATGTCCAGCCCAGAAGCCTTCACCCACGGAGTTACTAGCCCTTTCCTTTGCCTACTCTGCATGCATATTCTTGTCTCCTTGGACTAATCTGTTACAACTCTGATAAAAGGTGGCATGGGGGATAGTGAGGTGACTCCACAGACAGAGAAAAGCCTGACACTCATCCACTAGTCTCAATGATCTAGTATTTCTTTTTAACTCAGGTTTGCAAAGCATCATGGGAGCCTTTATTATTGTTTTTTAAGTCAACAGCACCAACATGAAGTAACTAAATGTTAATTAAAACACAATTTGACCTTTTGATGAGAAAGAAGTTTAAGGTCTATAATAAATAACCAGTGTCAAGTATGGCAGCTGCGGGGGGGGGGGGAAAGAAGGGCTTCTTTTCTTTCTTTCCTTTTTTTTAAAGTTGTGGTTGTTCTGCTAAAGCTGTCTTTTTGCTGGTGATATGTTTCAACAGCTGTCACCAAAGGAGAGTAGATGAAGAAGTATACACAGAAATAGGCAATGAATTCCTCCAAATCGCCATGAGACCCATCCTGTGGAAGTCAGTATAAACCCAGTGATGGACATCCAGTCTCCAGTGGCAGCTGAACTCCTCTGCTGTGTCTGAGGCTCACAATCACACCTTGACAAGGAGTATCACTCCTTCTTACAGAGATGAATTTCGTAAGAGCATCCTGAACAAAAACTACACATTTACAGTGGGTTACTACCACCAGGTAAAGGCCTGTATACTTAGCACTTTAGCAATCCTGGAGAAGGCTTCTGAGCATAGAGATATGGCAGATGTCTGTCTTTCTTAGAGCTGGGGGGTTCACAAAGTGCTAAAGAAAATTTTCCTAATGCAAGAAGGGCTCCCCTAGAGCAGAAGGACCATGATCATTTCTTAATGTGAAACTATCAGATTTGGATCTGAGGTTGCATTTGTGTGGCAGAAATCAACCTGCTACCCTAATGCTACTCTTTTTTATAGAAAACCTCAAGTGTTTAGGCTTTAGGAGTTTTCTTTGTAAGGAAGATAAGCCTGCATTTCTAGAGTTAATCTCCAAGCCACACAAGTACTACACACTGGTGCACACATAGGGTAGGCCTTATGATAGCCCTAAGCATCTGCTTACACAAGATCCAGCAAAACACACTGGCAAGGACCTTCTGGGGAAAGCTGCTGAGACACAGTGAGACACGGTGTCCTGGACCAGAACCACTCTGCTCTGAAGCATTTCCTTGGTGTGAACTGGGCAAAATGAATGAAATCTCAAATCTTCCCCCAAGAGCTCCAGTCCAAAAGCCTATTAGGCTATTCTCATACATCAAACTTTTCTTTGACTTCTATTTTCTTTTGTCCTTTTTTGTTTGTTTGTTTGTTTTGTTTTTGTTTTTGTTTTTCAAGACAGGGTTCTTTGAATTGCTTTGGATCCTATCTTGAAACTTTTTTTTTTTTTTTTTTACTTTAAAAGTCAACAGATAACTTGGGGGTCCTTGAAAGAACAAAGCATTTTTGGTATGAAACTTACATTAAGTAACTTCACTTCTTTGTTCCACAAGAGCTGGTTTCATAGCAAGTGTGGCTGTTCTTAACCTGGACTGTTTCATCAGACTCTAGAGGCATTAAAGGAGGCAGAAGCCTTTCCTTTTCCAGAGCAGCCCACCGTGTCTACAGTGTGTATAATGTCCACAGTGTCTACAGTGTGTATAGTGCCTACACAGTGCATACAGTGTGTATAGTGCCTACAGTGTGTACAGTGTGTATAGTGCCTACACAGTGCGTACAGTGTCTACAGTGTGTACAGTGTGTACAGTGCCTACAGTGCCTACAGTGTCTACAGTGTGTACAGTGTCTACAGTGTCTACAGTGTCTACAGTGTGTACAGTGTCTACAGTGCCTACAGTGTCTACAGTGTGTACAGTGTGTACAGTGTCTACAGTGTGTACAGTGTCTAAAGTGTCTACAGTGTGTACAGTGTCTACAGTATGTACAGTGTCTACAGTGTCTACAGTGTCTACAGTGTCTACAGTGTCTACAGTGTGTACAGTGTGTACAGTGTGTACAGTGTCTACAGTGTCTACAGTGCCTACAGTGTCTACAGTGTCTACAGTGTGTACAGTGTGTACAGTGTCTACAGTGTGTACAGTGTGTACAGTGTGTACAGTGTGTACAGTGTGTACAGTGTGTACAGTGTGTACAGTGTGTACAGTGTCTACAGTGTGTACAGTGTGTACAGTGTGTACAGTGTGTACAGTGTCTACAGTGTCTACAGTGTGTACAGTGTGTACAGTGTCTACAGTGTCTACAGTGTGTACAGTGCCTACAGTGTGTACAGTGTGTACAGTGTGTACAGTGCCTACAGTGTGTACAGTGTGTACAGTGTCTACAGTGCCTATAGTGTGTACAGTGTCTAAAGTGTCTAAAGTGTGTACAGTGTCTACAGTGTCTACAGTGTGTACAGTGTCTACAGTGTGTACAGTGTGTACAGTGTGTACAGTGTCTACAGTGTGTACAGTATCTACAGTGTCTACAGTGTCTACAGTGTGTACAGTGTCTACAGTGTGTACAGTGTGTACAGTGTCTACAGTGTGTACAGTGCCTACAGTGTCTACAGTGTGTACAGTGTCTACAGTGTGTACAGTGTCTACAGTGTCCACAGTGTCTACAGTGTCTACAGTGTCTACAGTGCCTACAGTGTCTACAGTGTGTACAGTGTCTACAGTGTGTACAGTGTCTACAGTGTCTACAGTGTGTACAGTGCCTACAGTGTCTACCTTGTGTACAGTGCCTACAGTGTTCTGTCGCTTTCATGTGCCACATGTGAGACTTCAAAACCAAGAGTAAGATATTGCAAGGTATCGTTGGGCTTAGCCAGATGGTTTGAATTCCTAATTAGATGATCACTTCTTCACTTGATGACCTTGGGCAAGGTAACTTCCATCCAGACTCAGACGCTGTCTATGAATAGCACTGGTACTACACCATGAGGGTCAGGACTTACACAGCACTGCCTGTCATGTGAGGTACATTCAGTAGTAGTAGCTGCCACTGATGTCGCAATGACAGATGATGACAATGTGGACAAACGCCTCTTCATCTGACATCTGCCTAAGCAGACAGACAGAATCCTGTTCCTGGGACAGTGAAGGATTTGGAGGAACTCTGAACCACCCCTGTCCCAGGTGACAATGTCTCAGGGTTCCTGCTGTGTGTTGTGGGGAAGTCTCTAGCACAGATGTCAGCCAGAACTATGCAAGGACTAGTGGCAACCAGGATGGTGAGAGACAAAACTCAGCAGGTTCTCTGTTGTTACTGGGCTCCTTGCTTCTTTAAGGGTGCCAGGGTTTTAAGACCTGGCTGACCCATGGACAGTTAATGCTCTTTATCTTTGGCCCTAGTAAGATAATGGCTCAGGCCTGAAGAAAAAAACATTTCAATACTTTGTCAGGTGTCTGACACATAAAGGACAGTCAAGTCACATAATCTAATGGCCTTGTGATATCCTGTGGAAGACTGTGGGTTAGGAACCAAACAGTTAAAGTGTAAATCACACAAGAAAGCTGCAAAGAGCTATCCAGGGGCAGGAGGGAGTGGGGAATTTGAAGAAGGGCCATATCCTAGAATATCAAAGGATAAGCCTAGACAAGGCAGGAAAAAAAGTCACCAGAGGACAAATTAATATAACTTCTCAACATGTAAGGAAAGAAAAAATCCACAATACTTAGTACTTCTCCATTCAGGGCAGGGAATTCATTAACTAAGCATTTCTCTTGTTAGACATCAACAATGCCAACTTAATTATGCCCGGAGACAATATGCCTGGCACTTCTTTCTTACTAATAGTCAGGAACAAAAATTCATATACAATCTCTACATGCAAGAAATAATAAATGGCTCCAAACTATTATTGCTTGGATGGATGCACAGAAAAAACCCTGATGCTCATTAGAAATCTCCCATTCCATTATCCACATATCCACATAAAGGCTGAGGTCACCCTTTCCTCATCTCAGTATATGGAATGGGATTTGATGGTTTTCTTCTTCTCTTATCTGTTGTTTTAGATCAGAAACCCTCAAGGCAAAAGCTTATGTGATTTCATCTATAATTCATACAGTCCTAGACACATCTTACTGGGCTGTTTATTATTGAAAAGTTACAACAGCAGAATAAGAAAGAAGCAGAGAGGAAGAGGTGGAAAGTGAAGGCCCCTCAAAGCTTAAAGAAGAACAGGAAATTCATAGATTCTGGTTGCTTTTATATGCTTGCAGGGGAAGCAGCAGTAAAGCACTAGATTATATGAAAGAGCTTGCTTGAGTAGTAAGAAGAGATTCTCTGTAAGGAGAGGCAGGAAAGAGGTAGAGTATTCTAGAAGCTATCTTCTATTTGATATTATAAACTTAAAGGTGGGCACAAACAATTCTTAAAATCATCAGTGTGCCTACTGAGGCAGAGTGTGATCAGACTTCAATTTTAATCAATGGCAAAATGATTTAAGCTGGCAAGGCTCAAAGGCTGGTGATTTATTTTCTGTTGTGGATTTTTAGCTATGATCAATAGATGATTTTTCAAGCTGCCTGGAATACTAACATCTCAGAGGTCAGAATTCAGATACTGAGAATGCATTTTAACTGATAGCTGAACTCAAAAGCTACAGCCCAAAGCATTCTGATATTACACCATTTCATCAAATCACTTTGATTCTTGATATATATTTTTTATGGGAAAGGATCACATTTCCCACCCCCATAAAATCAATAAGCCAGAAAGGAGCCAAGTTCCCAGTGAGGAAGAGATCAGCAAGAGCATAATGAAGAGGTGTTTAGTCACACTAGATGGTTCTAGCTTCCGCAATAGTGTTGAAGCTCTGGATAACCAGTCACAGCAACAGCAAGTTCAAGTTGACTACAAGCCACATTTCAAATGATATTTCATCTTACAACATTAAAATCAATCATATTTCAGTCCGTGCAGACTCTATTTAAAATATGCTAGAAAAGTCACTTTGCTAAGCAACCCTTCAGCCCTCTTGTCCCCAACGCCTTGAAGACAGAGTGTTTGGAATGGAGTCTTGGAAGGTAACAGCATTCAGAGTATCTTACTCAATTGAACTCATTGTGCAATTATGTACTTTGTACTAGATTTCAACTGTCACAGAATGGGAATGACACTTACAGCAGCCATGGAATTGAGCTGATCAATGTAGAACTCAGGCCAACTTGTTGCTCCCTTGTTTTCTTCCTGGTCCTATTTAAAAAAGAGAGAGAGAGAAAAAAAAAAAGGAAGTCAGAAACTACAAAAAGGTGATACATTGCAAAGGTCCAAACAGTAATATATCAGGACAGTAGTCTGCAACCACCAGAAGGCAGGAGATACTTAGGTCATCTAATTGACTATGATGCTCTTCCCAATCTGACAGAAGGAGGGAGGGAGGGAGGCAGCCAGTGAGCTAAAGTTCCAGGTATGACTAAAGGACATGTTCTAACCCATGGAAGAGGCACACCAGAATAGTTTTTTCCTGTAGGGACATAATGACACTGGGAAGGGCATTTCAGGCCCTATGTCACACTGAGGACTATACTGGGACTACATATCTGTATGAAATTCAAGAGTGAAGGAGACCCGCCTTAACATGGCAGGCATGGCCAGTTGGCGAGCAGACATTTTCAGGCTGTTACTAAGAGTCCATCAGACACTATTATTTTTTTGAAGTAAAATTTCAATTGATGTGGCCTAAAGTAGGCTACTGACATTGGGTGGAGGTAATAAAACGAACACACGTTAGTCCCGGGCACAGTTCTCCTGCTGAGCTAGCTCAGGAGTTTTGGTAGAACATAAAGTATGTTTCTTCTAAAAAGAACAGAAACCCACTCCCAAAGTACCTCAGCTAGTTGTGTCTCACAAACCAGAGTGATCTGGAGCCAGAACAGGCAGGGCATGCGTGGATGGGGGTCACTAACAAGCCTGAGCCAAAAACTGTAGTTTCTGCTGCAGACACATCATGCTCATCCATGAGGAACACTATGCACAGTTTCTATGCCTTTCTGCACATTCTTGTGTCTGTGAAACATTCATATTAACAGGGCGGAGAAATAGCACAGTAGCTCCATCTATTCACATTCGGAGAACACCCTGATACAATGGGTTAGCTCTGTGTCTTTGCAGAAGACACTGCCATGTACACACAGCTGCTGAGTGATGCTCAAGTGGTTGTTACTTGCTTAAGGGTTCTTAGTTTCTGTAGCTCCCCCCCAACACATGCACACACATGTAGACATATGCACACTGGTTCTTGGGAGAGTGATTTCTAGCTAAAGCTTTTAATTTTAGTCTCAGACTTTATTGTTACCCATGCCCCCCCATCCCATCTCTGTTACCCAGGCTGACCTCAACTTTAGAGTAATCCTCCTGCCTTAGTTTTCCAAGTGCTGAGATTATAGTTGTAAGACACACACACACACACACACACACACACACACACACAGAGCGCTTTCTTTAGCAAATGCTTCCAAGTGGGTCTGCTTAGGTGTGATAAAAGAAATACAATTCAAAACCATTTTCAAGTCATCATAAAAGAAGTCAAGTGGATGTCTACAGGGCCACCCGAGTGGGTAGTAATGGATGCAGAGTTGGACAATGAGGGCCAAGGAAGGCTACAGCAGTGTCTTTGAAGCTGGGCTGAATTACACTCTTGTGATTTAGAAACATTCAGGAAGTCTGATGAGTTTTTAGAACAGCTCTTGGTTATAATTTAACATGTTAATAAAAAAGCTATGGTGGCTGCATAAATGCTGAACCCAACTTTCCTCTTAAAGCGAGCATTAAAATTAGCAAAACCCTGCTGTTACCAATGTACTTAACAAGCCAAAACCCACATCGATATTCAATGGTATTTGGACCTATAAAATGAAATAGAAGGTGCCAGATCTTTCTATTCTCCCCAAACTAGGGCAAATTTCCAAAGCAAACAAGAATCAAGTCCCATGTCCAAGGTTCCACAAGAGCCTGTCTGTTGTAAGCTTCATAGTCCTGGATAGAAAACAGAGATCATTTTAGAAACTCAAGACTAGCGCGCAGAAGGAAGACTGCACTTTTGAAAAGTTGGAATAATACTAGCAGTTAAGAGTAGATCTTCCTTACAAAGTGGGGCACTTTTCACTTCACATGCTTCAGGGCTGAGAAGAGCATGCATGCCATGTGTGTGAGCGCACTGGTTGATGCTGCTCTGGCAGTAGGAGGCAGGGGCTTCTCAGAGCTCTTCCCCTTGGCCATGCATCTTGAGCTGTCTCTGCAGTCCAGGTCCTTGCATACAGAAGCATGCAGCAGTACCAGATGAAATACAAGTTTGAGTCAGTATTCTCCTAGTGTAAAAGATTTGTTAGAAGTCTCTAGTTCTCACTGAGGAGTCAGAAAGAAAGGAACCAACTGTTCTGGTGGGTGGGTGGGGGCTTCCTATAAAGAGCCCGCATGCTGAGACACAGCAAGAAGACAGTCAAGACTGTATAGACACAGCAACAGCAATATCCAGCACTTATATGTCAGACCTTGTTCTAAACTACCACTTCCTTCAGTCTGCTTCATGATTCATATGAACTGTTATCATATCATTTTGACTGAAGACGAGAGGACAAAGAAAGACTAAGCTGAAGGGGGTGGAAAAGAGGTATTGGGGAAGAGTCAGGGCACACTCTCTCCTAAGATTACACCTACAAGGCCTCGTGAACCATGGAAGACAAATATAAAGCTGCCTTTTATTTTTAACCATTTCGGTGTAAGAAAACTGGAATACGGTCAGCAGACAAAAACAGTTCACCTTTCCCCAAACTTTATTGCAACTTCTACCACATTGGTTCTCAGGTCTGATGTCTTCCCCAGGTTACGTCTACTCTGCCCTCTATACACTACTGGAGAAGCTCACCACCTTTATGTATACACACATCTGTGCTCAGACAGCAGCTAAAAAGCTTTCCTCTAAGCTGGGCGTTGGTAGCACACACCTTTAATCCCAGCACTTGGGAGGCAGAGGCAGGTGAATCTCTGTGAGTTCGAGGCCAGCCTGGTCTACAGAGCTAGTTCCAGGATAGGCCCCAAAGTAATACAGAGAAACCCTGTCTTAGAGGGGAAAAAAAAAAAAAAAAAGCTTTCCTCTAACCTTTCTGTTCTGTCAACACCCCCCACCACTCAAAGGTACTGGTGGCCTTCCTGGGGACTTCTCTATAAAACTTAAAATTAGCTGTTAATCATGTAGTTCTGGACCCTGAGATTACACCTTCTTCAATCATTCAGCGAACCCTATTCATGCCACCTTCTTTACCAACCCCATTACAGCATTTATCTAAACAAGAATATTAGCTTATTACAAAAAATAAAAAATAGATTGTTTTCCTCTCTAAGACAGATTATTGTATCCATGTAGAGTAGATCAAACCTACAATCTTAGCACTTGGTAGCATGAAGCAAGAGGGTCCTGAGTTTGAAGCCAATCTGAGAAATGTAGCAAGGTCTAGTTCAAAAACAAAACGAGACCCCCAAAAGATTACTGACCACAGTTCATGACGCTGAGTAAAGTAGCTCTGAGTGACTACTTCATATTAAATGCTCTTTCTAGTGCAGCCAAACATTAAAATCTAATTTTGTGTCCTATTTTGCTTTAACTGTCAGCATCTAGAACTCACTTGAGAACTTCAATTGAGGAATTCCCCAATACCAAACTGGCCTGTGGATGGTCTGTGCAGACTTCCTGGGTTGTTAACTGACACAGGAGGGCTCAGCCCACTATGGGTAGGACATTTTCTGTGTAAGTGGTCCTGGGCTGAACAAAGAAATTAGCTGAGAACGAGCCACCAGGCAGCAGTCTTCTATGGTTCCTGCTGTACCTCTGTGAGGACTAACATTATGTTACAATTACTGTGCTTCAGAGATCTATAAAACAAAAATGCCTCTAACCTGGAAGTCCCACTTGCCCAAAGACAGATAACTTCCTAGGATGATGGGGGGCTGTTGATCATGTAAGATAACAAACTATATTTTTTCGCTTGCTTCTGTAAACAAGCTTGGTTGCCCCCAATTGCACAGGATCTGTACTTGATCACTTGTAGGCAAGAAGTAAGTAACCTTTTGAGTTTTGCCTCTATGAGCTCCTGAATAATGTAATTCCGTGCCATCATCTGAGCATGTACAGTTTTGGGTATGCTCCTAGACAGTTTTTAATAAAATTACTTATTAAATTTACTCATGGTCATAGTGAATCTCTGAGCAATCCCAGAGCCTAACATCTCTTTGTCTGTGAAGTGAGTTCCTGGGTAGGTGTTAATGCTGTGTGCGCAGTAAGCAGGCCTGCATCCAAATTCCTGCTTGAGTTCTTGCCTTGACTGCCCTTACTGATGGATGGTATTCTGTTCATTGAAGTCCCCCCCACCCCCAAACTCTATTCTGCCCTGGACTGTGACACAATGCAGGATCAAAGTAGGACATTTGTTCCTTGAAAACATTACATGCATTTAAGTTTACCAGAATTATCTTCAGGGCTGCTAGAGAATTAGAACAGAAATAAATGCTTGAATTTATTAATTTCTCTGCTGGTTTATTGGGGGGGGTTGAGAATGTGTACATATGCCACTAATTTTTAGAGATATGGTATGATGAGAAGGTCACCAATTCACCATCTGAAAATGGGATTCTAGAACCTTCTTTTTTATTCACTCAGTTCTCAGTTTAGGTAAATGTAAATATATCTGGGGTTATTTTCCTTCTCTCCAAAATAGAAGAGTAAGGTCAGACTATTTCTGAGGTTCCTACAAGCTCTAAGATCCCAACTTTGTGGGGACACAACCTCTACTGTACTTAATTTCATGCCTCAACTTCTAACACCAATAACTTGTAAATATTTACATTCTCCAATGATTCAGTTGCAGAACTATTCATTTTCAAAAGTCACTCCAACAGTAATTCAATAGCCACCCAGGTCTTTGCTACCTTGTGATTTCTTTACATCAGTTCTTCCTGTTTCGTTAGGAGGCCTTCAGATATTATTAAGAGGAGAATACTAATGGCTGAGACTTCCTGATGGAAATAACTCACCTTTGATACTTTGCCCCTAGCCTGCATTGACTATTGTTCAACCCTTTTCCTTATTGCCCTAAGTATGTGTGATTGCATGTCTGTGTGCTTGTGTGTGTGAGTGTGTGTGTGTGTGTGTGTGTGTGTGTGTGTGTATGCGCATGCGTGCGTGTGTAAAATCCAGATAC